CATAAATCTGTTTTCTTTTGTGCAAATTAAGGTTAAAGCAGTGGGCCTAGTAAAGGGCTATATAGATGTAACTTGCTTATGTGTGTTGGCATGCTGTCCCTACACTCAGATGGCTTCCTCTTTGCAAATTGTACTGTAACAGTAAAAATGCTACTTGACCATTTCAGAGAATGTCCTGTAACAGACCACTCTAGTGCCTCTAAAAATTGAAGCTAAATCAAGCAGTCACAATTTAGAAAGTCACTTACAAACTAACGTCATCTGTCATTTTCCATGCCATTAATATTTGATTGCTGGAAGGCTGAGGATATCTGAGTTAAAAGATTGCTGTAAAAGTAGACCAACTTTCTTGTCAATGTTATAAGTTAATAGGAATTCACTTCCGAAAATCCCTATAAACACTCTGCATTCTTTCCCTCAGGCTTTTAAAAAAAAACACGCTTACTTAATGTAACATAAAACAAGATTCTATCGTGACAATCAGGCCTTGCTGAATAAGAGGTATTTGTTAATAAAGGAAACTTTTGTCAATATTTTGATGACACCCTCTTGTCTTAATAGCTGCACTTAAAGATGAGGCGACTCTGAATGCTTTTTATAAGACACCGGAGACGAACTTACACTGATATGTAATAATTGCGTTACTTGTCTGATTCAAGGTCACTTTAATTCAATGTGATACTTCCAGTTTTAAAATAGGTTTGTTTATAGTTGTAGGGATATTGTTTTTAACAGTTCACTCTTGGTTGTCAGGGAATATGATTTTGGTGATATACAGACTGCAAAGACAAAAAAAAGTTGGTAAAATCTGAGTTCCAGTACATTTGTATACCTGTAACCAGTATGTCAAGTACTTAGAATATTGTTTTATTTTCTCCATTATTCCAGGAGCATAGATTTGAACATTGTGGAGGCTTTGTTATAAGAGTTATCATAACATGATACCAATATATAAATCTTGTATTATTTAACTCTGACGAACAGGATTGTCATAAATGACTTGTCAATGCCAGTCAGTGTAGAGCCAGGCTGAATGAGTGAAGCCACTGACTAGGCACTACACTGCTAAATTTATCAGTTTTTTATCAATCCCCTTCACATTAACAATGGACTCAACTTAATTCAAAGTTGGACAAGTCCATTATACAAATTCAGCAGAGTAAGCTTTAAACCTGTTCAAATGTTATGTTAAGGGATTAAGTTTTATAATGTTAGTATCTGTATATGTTAGTTATAAAAGTTTATATTTTGCTAATAAAGATTTATTGATAACCTTTTGTAAATAATGGTTTTATATCCATGTTAATATAGTCCTTTAGGCTGTTGTTTTTCTTGAGCTTGAATGACTTTTTACAAAGGGTAAAAAAATCAAATCGTGTGTACTCTACCAAATATGTTTTCTTTTCATTGACTTTAAAGAACTGTTGACTTTTTTACTCCTGGTTGTACAATAGTATGGGGCTGAGGTCGAGTGTACGACTATTTTACTGTTGTATTTGGTATAAAAATGTGATACAGTGTCGTGATTAATATTGGTGAAATTGTTTTTCACTCCTGTTAGTTCTCATCTCAGAAGCTTTGCCCTTCCTATAAATGTCAGTAAACATGACATTAGTAACTAATAGTTAACCTGTAAAAGTTTCCAGTTTACTACCTTTTTAACTACTTAATTGCTAATACACACAAAGTTCTGTTCTATTCTTCATGCTGTGTAATTTGTTTTATACTTAGAAGTTACCTGCCTCTGAACGGAGGATCAATCAGTCATATTTTTAAGGGGTGGGTACTGGTATAAGAACATACAAATTTTAGCAGCTAACCGATACAGGCAAACTTGGGGGTGGGGGAGTTGGTACCAATATTAGAAGAAAATTATAGGTCAACTTTGGGAGTTCATAAAACAAAAAAGAAAACATTGCATCTGTTCTAAATCAATAAGCTTATTGTTCCTATTTTATTGAAAATTTTACATAAGTAAAAGAGTAATATTTCAAGAATATACAAATGTACAATTGCAGCTATCCTGCTAATTTTTTAAAAAAAAATTGAACATTCATCTGCAGTTAAATTATTCAAAATAAGGCTTTGTAAATAATTTGTACATATATACATTGTATATTTTTATGGGAGAGCTTTGGTCTGCCCTGTCATTTTCAGGGGAGGGCTTTTGTCCACCTTGTCATTTTTGTACAGGTGCGCTTTTGTTCTCCACACAGTCAAGCTGGGGTGGGTGTGCAACTTGAGCAACTTGGATGGGTTGCTTTATTTACAAGCCATCTCAGTAATTATCAAGAAACTGTTCAGCATGATTGGTATGTTAAAGAAGTTTATGAATGAAATTTTTCATAAAGAAACTTAGGAAAAGAGTTCTGATGATACCTGTAAACTACATAGACTTCTCAACATGTGTTCTGAATTTTTGTGCCAACAGTTTTTTGTGTTCCTGTTTAAATCTTGTATGAGGAGGGAGATTCAGCAAGTATATCAGGCCTACTTGTATGCTGTTCTAGAATGTTTATCTCATTACCAGTAGATTATGATCAGTCAGATATCTTATTGAGGTAGTTATACCTAGGAAATTACTACATTAATGCAGTTAAATGTGCCTTTTTTCTATAAAAAGATTTTTGTGTTTGTTCGGTTGCCCCAGTTTCAGATGAGAGTCTGTGGTGAAATGATTTGTAGAAATGTGTTTATTGATTTCCTTCTGTTTGAAGATATTGTCTTTCCTTTACCGAGGGTCTTAAATTTTACCTCTGTTAGATTCTGCAATGTATGCATATAGGTAAATAGCTCATTTCGGCCAATGGGATGTCAGAATTTACAAACCCCAGGTTTATTTTTGCTGGCATAAGAATCAAAAGTAAGACAATTTCTGTGATATTTTCTGTTCAGTCTCATAATAATATCAATGTTATTGCTCATTGATTAGCGATAATAGATAAAGAAGACCTAATAAAGCTCTTCTGATAAACCCCCATATTTTATAGCCTAATAAAGGCTGTTTCCCCGAAATAGGTAGATTTTCCCCTAAAATGCTAAGTTTTACCGTACACATTCTCCACCAGTACCATGACAGCAGCTGACTTACATATATATATAACCTTTTCTATGTACAATGCATGATAAATTGAATTGAAATTGAAAATTTTATAAAATGTGTTGGAATTTTTCCCCTTTTCAGATTTATCATGATATTTTCACCTTCAGAAAGCCATAGGTTGTTTTAAAAACTGTCAACTTTTCTGATAGGCTCATAATCAATTCTTTTACTCATTTATCTTTACTTTTTTAACTCACAACATTAAGGATGAAAGGTAAATGAAGAAATAAGATAGATGTGCTAGTCTTGGGCTTGTACAGTCTAGAGTCATACCCCAAACAAAGATAGTGTCCCTAATGAATCATGCTGAAGTTTCTTGTTTGTGTATTAAAAAAAATACAACTGCTAGTTTAGTTGTAAATAATTGTTTATGATACAAGTTATGGTGCTATTAATAGCACTTCTGTATATAACTAATAGACTACTAAATGAAGTAGATACTCAGTTAGCTTCAATGAATGATATTAAGAATCTTCTTGAATACTGGTTATGAGACTACACACTAAATTGTAAAAACAAGAGGTAATTGAAATTGCCTCTGGTAACTTATGCATATTTCATTTGCATTACATTCAAAAGTTTAATTTGAAAATCATATTAAATGTTAGATTTTAATGTTATATCCCTAACTAGCATCAGTGGGTTGTTAAATGTGTCAGCTGGGGGTTAGAGTAATTAAAAATTGATGAGACCCTGCCATGAAATACAGGACATGTATAATCAGCAGTAGTGTAGTATTAATGGTAGTGCTTTATAGATGTATTTAATGCTGGCAAAGATATTTATATGAAATATGACTCATCAACTAACCTAGTTTAACCTGGTTGATTAAACATTGGTATGTATGTAGTAACACTGTTACAACTAGTCAGGTTTTCAACAGGTTTAAGCAATATCTTGAACATTTTAACATTTTTTTTTGTGAATTCAAGTTCAGATTTGATATTTAAAAAAAAATTGCACCTGGTTTCAAGTAAAATGTGACTTATAAATTAGTGACACAAAAATTGTCAGCAAAGTCTCAAACTTTAATAATTTATTATCTTTAAAATAAAAGTTATTTAAACCCAAGTCAGAACACAAAGATAATAATGCTATATAACCATTCTTAATAAATTGAAATAATAAAAAGAGGGGGTTAACTCATTAACTGCAAGGACTATAAGAACTATTGTGTTAAGGTTTACAAGAAACTGCTGACTAATCATAATTGTAGCCAAAAAAAAGCCAGTAAAATGCCATATGACATTTTCAAAATGTTCTAGTTTCATTTGATGGAAATCTGTTGAAACAAGATGTAGAATAGACAAGTGGGTGAAATGTTATACAAAAAATAGTATTAAGTAGTAAAGTATCTTGTTGTCAAGTATCCACTTAATGAGATATTTTTTCATCTATTCAGTTTGGTTTAGTGATCTTGTATTAGGAACAATGAGTGACCTTATTTGAGAAAACATGAACTTTTGAATAACCTTTGCTCTTAAGCTTTTATATGTAATGCCTAGGTGCTTTTGATAAGATATCATCATTTATTTATATTTTTACAATGTAAACTTACACATAGTTGACTAGGCATGGTTCGATGCTCCTTACCTATTTTTTTGGGATATTAGCCCTGAAAGAGAGCTGCCTTTGAAAATAGCCTAGAAAAAGCTGGCAACTTTTGCCTAAAAGGGCATGTAAGTGCATAGAAAAGAGATTGTCACCACCATATTTATGTGTGTGCTATTGTGTTGAATCCAAGCCACATATTACCAGGAAATTAATTTGTCACTGGAAAGTTTTATGTTTAATGAATCATTTCACATGCTCAAAATCATATATTATTTATAGTGACAAAAACTTAAGTTAAATGTAATATTAAATTTATGTTATTTATGGTCTTCTTTATTTTCAGGTTGCCATAAAAATCATAGACAAAACACAGCTCAACCCATCAAGTCTCCAAAAGGTAAATAATCATTAAAATGGGAATTATTAAGAAAATGAAATGCAGATTTTTCAGCAAATAAAATTGCTGAATGGGGGTTCAAAATAATTGCTCTTCATTATGAAGTATTTTAACTTCATACAGTGTTGCTCTATCATATATGGACATGCTGTTATGAGTCCATATTACATTTAAAATTACTCATGTCTTTGGAAATGTAGGTAATAGTCTAACTACCACTCACTTCTCCCCATAAGTTTTTACTTAACCCTTAGACCATTTGACCAGTGCAGACCAAAATCAGCTGGCACATTTTATGAACTGATATAGGTCGTAAGTCCCTGAAACAGGAAAGATGATTTTAACTAACCTTTGGTGTAAGAAACTTGAAGCAACACCAGGGGTCTAAACCAATACGCCTGCTGGAGCTAAAAGATGCATAGACTTCAGTAATTTGAATCAATTTAGTGGCCTGTAAGTCACACAGGGATAAACTTTGGCTGCAATTTTGTCCAGCATGAAAGCTGGACAAGTTCATTAGATATTTAGCATGGTAAGAGTTAATATTTACAAAATGTAAAAATGTAATGGTTACTAAGCTCAAACAAATACTTGCACCTAAGCTGTGCTTTGGCTATCACAAGATGTTTGTCGTCTGTCAGGAATGTCTCGCAAACAAAGGTTCTTTTTAAGTAGGTCAATTATGATCAAAATTATAATTAAATAATACTTTCAATGCTCCATGAATTACAATTCAATAACTACTGTAGTATCAAATATTATATATTTGTTGCATAGTACAATTCTTGTTTTCGATGAGTTGAGCGCACTTTCTTCAAACAATTTTCTCCCCTTGTGTTAATGGCCCAGTTTCAGGCCTGTGAATAGAATAAATTTATGGCAATTTTGTATGTTAAATGCTCTGTTAATTGAGTTTAGGTAATGAATTTTGCTTAGACTGTAGAAGATGTTGAACAAATGTAATTTTCTCTATAGAAACCAGATAGATTTACTGGAATTATCTTTTAATTAGATTGACATTTGATTTGTTTCCTTTATTTAACTTAGTACACTTGACTCTGGTATGTTTTTAGGCATTTTTGGTTTTCATTTGAAGTACAAACCTCTCATCTAGGTATATGATATACATAATTGAAATTTGGTTAAAAATCAAAGAAGTACTTTTGTATTTATACAGTAGCTAATGCCTTTTGATCTAAAAATTAATTTCTTTTTTTCTTTATTTCAGTTATTTCGGGAAGTTAGAATAATGAAAATGTTAGACCATCCAAATATAGGTAAGTTCATTTAACAAAGCATGATTGTAAGTTAGGGGACAATACACAGTTTTCTTGCATATCAGACTGGTGTTTCCATTAGTTTTACCCATGCCGGAAATTCAATCTGGCATGGGCGTACAATGGCATGCTTAGTATGACATAATTTCGCCGTTTATAATGAGTGAAGTTGTATTTTCATACGCTGTTGTAAGAAAATAGTTACTGGTGTTATGACATAAATTTTCATGGAAAATTGTTTTATGAAGATAGTGATATTTAAAATATGATGGGATATGGTAGAATATAAACTATCTGACATATGTTTGCGGTTCGGATCGGAATATCCAATATTTTTGTCGCCTTTAACAAATGTGAAAAATGAATGTTCCACACTTGTGTTAATCGATATAATAAAGATATCTAGTGACTTTATCAATTGTTTACTTACTTGTGCAGAAACAATAGCATTATGCCATAATTTCTCCCAGATGATTAACAATGATTGTTGTAGAATTAGTTTTTGGATAAATATTGTATATGAATATTACATTTTACTGTCAAGACAGAAAGTCTGGAACTAGTCTTTACCAATATTGTCACATGTAATGTTTTTAAAGAAATTGTGTATTAAAGTAAACTCTCAACACACTGATCAGAAAAAATGTGAGATTTCTCAAACTCAAAAATGAAGAAGTATATTGATGAAGAAATTTGTAATGAAAAAAATCCCAGCAAAATCTCCCATCTTAAATAGACTTTCATGTATATCATTGTATAGAGACTTTGTATATCATTATATATTGGCATAGAAAAAAAGGTTTCTAAGAAAATGAGAATTACTGTGACCCTTTGACATTAAGACTACCAATAATCTAGTTTCTGTGCTTCTTCACAGTTACTAGACAGACACAAGATTGCAATTTTGCAGTTTTTCTTAAAGCTAATGTTGAGTTTATTGTGTAATATACTTAGTTCATGGAATTACTTTCTTCACTATGTATCTGTCCAAACTGAAACTTTGAGCAAGAAAAAGCTAATCTCCTTTACTTTAGAAAGTAATTATGTTAAATCTTAATAGATCAGCTTGATGTTGATTTAATCAAGAAATAATTGTTATTCATATTATTCTGAAAATCAATGATAAGTTTTGTTTATATTTAACTAAAGAAATTGAGGATCACAGTAACAGTAGAGTTTTATATTGTGACCACTTCAAGCTACTTTGTCATAAAACATATACATACCCCGGAACTATTTAAAAATTTAATAAAATTAAAAAATGGTCGCTACAATTCCTAAATTTTGTTTAATATTGACTTTGTTTTTGCGAAATATTTCAAATTTTCAATTATTTGTGGGCCCGGTTGGCTAGATATGGAGAGCATCTGATTAGTAATCCATAGGTTGCTGGCTCAGTCTGTCAACTATGTGGTAGTAAAACAGTGTTTATTGGTCTCAAACGGTCTTCAGCCATGAATCAGAAATCATGTTGGATAACTTGTAGGGAAACTGCTTATCACTGGTTAGTTATCCAGGAAAACCATTTAAATATCTGGACATCTATAAAAAAAACCAATAAACCTCATATTGGTTTATTGGTTTTTTACTGTAAATTTGTGACTGTTAATTAATGAATAAAATGTTCATATTAAACATTATACAAACATGATTAAAAAGGTTATGCTTCCTTGGGTGTCTGCATTAATGTACATTTATTTTAAAGGATCAGTCAACCTTTTGGTCAGAAACTGTTAACTTTGTGTTATTATAAGTTATATATGATATTTAAAACTGATGTACTTTGTCATAAATGTTTACTTTGGCCTTGATGTACATATTTTATAATTTTTAATTGCAGTGAAACTCTTTGAAGTCATAGAAACAGAAAAGACATTATATTTAGTTATGGAATATGCAAGTGGGGGTAAGTTTTATGTCTTTACATATCACAATTGCTTGATTTAACATTCTTTGTTTATAGTGCCGTCATGGAATGGGCATACTACGTAAATTAAAGATTTGTTGACTGGTGTGATAACTTTTTATGTTGGTTGTTACACATTTGGACATTTAGGGAAGAGTTTTAGGCCTATAACATATATTGGGAGCCAGGCTAAGTTATGTTTGCCATATGAAGATCCTCGCCAAGTCCATGTAGTTTGAAGGTTGTCTTTACTTGTACTTAAAAGAAATTCCTTGAACTAGCCTTCCTTTCGGTTTTACTTTTGTGATTCATGAAGCTGCTTCAAGACTCTTTGTTTAGAACTATATAAAGGGTAAACGACCGTCTATTTCCAAAAGAGGAAAGTTTGTTAGCCAGTATAGCAAACTTCTTGATGATATCTCAGAAAGTGTAAAAATCTATGTCTGTGGTGTTTGATTCATAACATCATAGTGACCTTCTTATGATTCCCTCCTTTATTCTAATTTAGGCAACATTTCTCAGAAATGCAGAAAAATGAAATATAGTCTGATATTTTGAGATAAACTTTTGAAAGGTTTCCCATTTTTTTACATGTACTTAAAAGGTCTTATCAATGCAATATTGCCAGAGTCTGATGATATATTCATTGTTCCGGGACTTCAGGGTAATGTATTTGTCTTACTAAAACCACATTTCTGTCTTAAGTAAGGCATTTTGAAATAATTTAGTAAAAACTTTCACTGATGAGGCTGCCCGAATAAAACCTGAATAAATGAATATTGCTACTTTCTGTTTTGTCTGTGGAGATCATATTAAAGGTAGAATTATAATTCCTTAGTTAGTATAAGGAATGAATTATGCCTGTCTGTAACCCACAAGCTTTTAACTCAGTCTAATACAAAAAAGTGTACATTTGTTGTCATTGTATTAAAATGATGGTTACTTAATATTTTTGTATCTAGTTATCTATAAATCAGTGTTGATTGGTCTTATGTTAAGCGACCCCTCACTGAAGTCAAGATTTTAACCATTATATCATAAAAATTACAATACCACCTTACCTTTAGATAGAGGTGTGTCAAAATATGCAGAACAAAAATGTATACATGTACCATTTTATGTAAACCGTCAGATAGTTGTCACCTTGAAAGTAAGCTTTTATGAGGCCATTTGGAATATGTGTATAGATTTGTGTAAACAGAAGACACAGTCTTTATAGTTTTGAAATGTTTGTTTCTTTTTTTGACAGTAAGAAAGAAATCATGTGTCCATGTTTGTCATTGAAAGCTGTCATTAAATAAGAATTTGAACGTTATTGAACAATTTTAAACACCGTATATGTCTTAAGATAATGTCAAGTTATTTTGATTTAATATACGTATTTGACAATACTGTATATGTGTCGTATTATTTTGAGTTTCTAATGCCACATTTAGCAAAATTTAGATTTGAGGCATTTGTTTAGAACCACCCTCTTTGTTTTGATTAGAAAAGTTTATTATTTGTTGATATAAGGCATATAGTGTTTCAGAAACAAGAAGCTAAGTTTATAAATTGCAAGTTTATTTACCCTAACAATGCAAAAGCGGACCTACAAATCCTTTGGCTACTAGTGTTGAGCCAAGCCTGTCAACACATCCAACACATCCATGTCAGACAAGCCATTTATTAACCAACTTCAAAATCATAATAATGACATTCCATTGGTTATTACAAAACATAGGTTAGACAGGTTCAGCAGGTAAAACTGTTAATACAAACCATGCTTTAAAACATAAACAAACACAAGAAGAAACAATAACAGAACCTGATTGTTTATGATCACATCTCAAGTTGATTAACTTTCTATCTTTCTTAATAATGCATTGGGTTTTGTAAAGTATTAAATTTAACTAATTGCTTGCAGGCAGGGATATTTAATGTGATATTGTGTTTTTGTTTCAGGGGAAGTATTTGATTACCTAGTGGCACATGGTAGAATGAAAGAAAAAGAAGCTAGGGCAAAATTTAGACAGGTAAATCCTACATTGTATATTATATACCTATTATACTTTATTTCCTAATTAACTAGTCATAACTGCATTTCCTAATTAACTAGTCATAACTGCATTAAATCTATTACATATTATAATATGTTACATTTGATTTTAATTTTAGACTATGTATGTGAAGTTTTTTTTTATCGTATTCTAACATGAGGAAGCTATTTAGCTTGTTTGTGGTTTTTCTCAGGTAATTGGAAAGAGGTCATAGCGTTTTGATTTTTGGGAAAAGTATCATTAAAATTGCGTATTTGGCAAGTTTGTTTAAGTCACATGATCAGTTATAAAAACTACTCGGTGATTCTGTCAGCATCACTTATATAGATAAAATTACGCTTCAAACCCTAAATATATAGAACTTATACAGAAATTCATGCTGGGATTTTTACAAATGTCATTTTAGCGTGACTTTAGTACATAAGATAATTTTGATATTTTTGTCATTAATTTGCCTGAGTATCTCTACTATGAATTTTTATTTTGAACTGAAAAAAAAGCATGCACATATATCAGTAATGATATAATGTAAATGAAGATGTTTGTCTATATTTCAAACTGTACATAAATGGGAGATCATATCATTATGTCTGGACTGAGAAAAATGATTTTTGGTTCCTAATCTATGGCTGTGAATTTGTCATTGCCATATGTGAGTATGTCTGTGACAAATTCTCAGATATCTTGTTACAAATACATTAAAATTTAAGATATTTACACTAGTGAAGTACAGGTCAATTTTGAGAAGTGCGCAAACAGTAGGGTAAAGGAAATAAATTTACCCTAAAACAGTATGGTTTAGGAAATGGATGAAGAAAATGAAATTGTTCATGTAATTATGGTGGTTATATTGGTGTGTCTTTGGCAAATTGATTCGTAGGGAGAACCTACTCAACTATTTATTGAATCTTGAGATGATAGAAAGCCTAGAGGTTTGCAAGTAATAACTTTTCTTTGAAGAATCAGGTCACGCTTAAGTTACAAGTGTTCAAAATCTTTAGTAATCTGCCAAGAGAAAAAAAGATGCTAGGAAACAAGAGGTTTCCATACAAATGCCCTTTGTTTTACATTTCTCAGACTTTATGCTCATGAAATGTGTTCTTTGTTTTTGACAGCATAACTTCTCTTGAGAATCTATTATAAGAATTGATGTACATATTGCGATGCTCTGAAATCTTTTTTTACTGCTTCATGGGCTTGTAGAAATGATTTTTATCACTTAGATGTAGACAAACAATATATATTAGGATGAGCAACTAAAATTACTTGTATCAATGTCAGGTCATTGTATATATAATTTCACTTCCCTGATTTGTTTGAAAAGCAAGGTTTGTTTTCAATATATATCAAGTCTGATTTCATTTTTAAGAAAAAAACATTTATAAAATGATTTTATTTGATATAATATGCAGTGACAGAGAAATTAATTAATTCATATCATTTACATGTGCTTTGTTTGTTTTCAATCCATTTTCTAATGATAATATTTGCTTGAGCATTAATTTCTTATACATCAAGTTGTGAATGAGTAATATTTGTTTCAATTTGAATTTGGTTCACATGTCAAAAATCTAATTCCTGGGCACATGTACATGTACTTTCCAATTAACCTTCACAATGTAATTTGTACACTTTAAAATTTTGTGTTTTATTATGCTCTAACTGTCCATTCCCTTTATATATATGAAAAAATATTATTTATTTAAGGACATTGTTATCTTGATAAACTAGATACCTTCATGAATGTAACTACCGTTCATTCAGTGATATAATGTAAAACTTACACTGGCCAAGGTAAACATATCAAGGTTATCATTTTAACTTTCATTACACTCGTTTAAAAAATCAGATGACTGTCATCGGTATAGAGCCTGGACAGCTGGTACTGTCTGACCCTATAGTAATACAGTTGGCTGCCAAATTTTAATATTTTGATATTCAAATCACTTATATGTATCACAGACAGTTAAGGCCAAGTCCATTACTGTGGTTAGCGAAAGAATGTAGAGGCAAATTGTAAAAGCGGTGACTAAGTAATGTATTGATTTTGGCATAGGGTCTGTTTTGTCACATTGTTGAGATTTCTGATCTAATGTTGCATAGATGCAGCTTACTTAGCAAAAATTGGATTCAGACAATATGTTGATGAGAAGAGCTAATGAGGATAATTGAATGTCCCTTATATAAATTGATATAGAGCAGGTGCTTTCACTTGTCACTATTGATCTAAGTGAATGACCTTGCTTTTACCATTGATTTCCTATACAGCTCTTGTTGCTACAGTTTGTGCACTTCTGTATGCAGATTTGAATGTTTTATAAAGTGCATCAGGTTTTGAAATCACTGCTTGATATTCGAGATTGTAAAGGGACATGATACGTTAATGAGCATAGTATAATAATGAGAACTGGTTATAGCTGGTATATTCTGTACTCTCCTGATTTTATGATCACCTTAAAAGTTTAGTGGTGAGTATAAGAAAAGTTATTTTGGTAAAGAACATTGCTTGCTTTGAATTTTGAATGGTCCATTGGAAGTTTATGGGTGGTTATAACGAAAATCAGAATAGTCATACAGAATTGTATGCATTAATGTGCAAGTTCACAGTGGATTATCAAAATCACTGTATCATGTCTTGTGAGCCCTTAACAATTCATTGTGTATCATGTTTTTTTATTACAATCACCTGCTACTTCTGATTAGGAGCCTTTATATTTTAAATTGTACCTTTCTTGTGAACACAGGAGGTATCCTCTGGAAAGTCGCAAGACTGGTTTAACTTTGGTGCGATTTAGTAGAGCATTGTCTTATTTGATATATACATTTGATATTATTAACACTGGGGTCTGGGGCTTGCGCAAATAAATTTGAGTAGAAGAAACATTTCACTTTCGTTTCTTATGATGACTTTAAGTTTATAAAGGTTAAACTTGAATGTTTTATTTCATATCACACTTGAATCATTGATTAGATAATACAAGAGTATAGCTAACACCACAGCACCAAAACTCATTAAATTTGTTCTTAAGCTAAAAGAAATGAAGTAAGAAAACTTGATTTAAATGAACACTATTAAGTCTTCGCCTAGTGAAGTTTATTTGAATCTATTTTTGTCTTTAAATTTGTGTGAACTACTTTGGGTTGTATATATTGATCTTTACTCACTATTCAAGATTTGATTAAGACATAAAACAATGGAAATTGAAATCAATTTTCATAGGTAAATATATTTTCCTTACAAATTCAATGCACAAAAGGTTAAGATTTAATGCAAGTTAAGAATAGAAGCTAACTTAATGATTTGTTTAATATGAAAAGAGGTTGCTTACTTCAAGCCACAATGAGAAGAATTTTGTAATAACCTAGCATCCTTGTTTGATTAATGATAAAAGTTTGAAATGTGGGTTCTTCAGGAAGATGTATGTATCATCATCAGGTGAAATCATAAAATTTGATGTAGGATTTAATTTGGTTAAATTTAGAGTTTATTGTGGAAACTTGTTGACATGATATTACTTTTAAACAGAGAGTTTTGCCATATATAAATCTGCATATAGGTATAATGTCATCTATAAGTATAGTAATTTATATTTTAATGAGAATAAAGGTTTAATTCCTGTGATTATTTTCTTTTTCAGATTATCTCTTCTGTACAGTATTGTCATCAAAAGAATATAGTCCATAGAGATTTAAAAGTAAGTAGATCATAAAGATACTGGTAACCTTGATATGCTGAATAGTTCAATTCCACCTCACATTCAACATATCACCTGCTTTGTTTTTGGGGTTGGGTGTTGGGTTACAACTGATTGGTGCTTAAAGAAAATCTAACTTTGAATACCACCTTACCACTTCCATGAAAGGAACTCCATGGAGGTCCAAAAGCCAATTTGAATTTCTTACAAAGATCTGCTGGAAAGATATGCAAAAGATAATTAAAAAATATACTTTAAAATTAATTGAAAAACATATTTTTGTGCTTTTTTTTAAGCCAAATTTGAGTGAAAATAGTTGCAAAGCCTTTCAATTTTGGGTCATTTTTCACAGTTTGAGTAACTATTCTGAAAAGAGTGAGTGACTTATCTGAAATTTTGCACACAAATTATTGGCCTCTACTGACATCAAATGAAACATTACTCTCATAAAATTATTTCCAGTCCTGTCACCTTTGTGCAGACAGTTTCTACTTGCATAGGTTCAGTCTGATATATCTTTTACATATAATAGTACTTTGTGACAATAAAGGATTTTGTCAAAGTTCAGTGAGTTAATTTTCAGTACACAACTTGATGATGTGGACTTTTTTTAACACCAACATTTGACTCAGTAAGATTATACTTTTGGAATCACAAAAAGCTATGCTGATTTATTTTTAGGACATAGTTCATGGTTATTTGGACTTTCGGGGATATTCAACTTGCATTGTTTCAATGGTCATTGTTTATATATAATGAATGTTGTTAACTATTCCATGTTGTATTTATCACAATGACCAATGTTATATTTTGTATTACATTGCAAAGTACATTCACAAAAAAAAATATTGGTTAAAAAAAATCATTTTGTTCATGGGATATCAGATCAGGCTGTTTTAAGCTTGTTTAAATTGTATTAACATTAACTTTCTTTAATCCCCTCACAACTATTTTAATCTACACCTGCATATGATAATCTATAATTAACCGATTTTAATGTATAAAACAGATAAGTAGATGTTAATTAACTACAGTTTGTTTATTACATTTGTGCTGGTTTGAACTTGGAATAATCCATTGGTTCATAACGGGAAAAAATAAGAACAGAAACTAAGTAGCTAAAGTATTGAGTCAGGTCAGACTGCACAGCTGAATTGAGCTGGATTGGTTCAATGTATGAAGTATAGGCCTTCATTTGAATTTTTCTATTAACAATAAATAGATTATAAATGTTTACTTTTGTTGTTTTTTGCAGGCTGAAAATCTGTTATTAGATGCGGATATGAACATTAAGATAGCAGATTTTGGCTTCAGTAATGAATTTGTACCTGGGAACAAATTAGACACATTTTGTGGTAGTCCCCCTTATGCAGCTCCAGAACTTTTTCAGGGTTTGTATATAATATATTCAGATTAGATGAGTGTACATGTGTCAGAAACCTAATAAATATGTTAGCTCAATGATAGGCTTTTTTTACTGCAAAGTGAATGAAGAAGAAAAATATGTCTGCGTACTACATAGTTGAAAAAGTATATAAACTTAATGCTGGAATATCTACTGGGATTTTCTGGCAAGTTTTGTTGAGAAAAAATGTGCTTGCATATATATATCTTTTAAAATTGTTAACTTTTGTAATTAAGAACTGTCCAAAGTGGAACCTTTCTAACAGGTTGATTAATCCAGGTTTTTTATAATGACCAAAAATGAGTTCAAATCCTTCAAGATCAAATGTAAATCTGAGGCTGAATATTTCTTGACAGATTCTTGAAATTTATTACGTCATTTCACTAGACCCCTTATTTTAATTTTTATGAACCTATTTTGTTAATCAAATTGTTCAATGTTTTATGCATGATTGAAAAAATGCCTTGATTAAGTAAGACAATGCCAGTTTTAAAAAGGTTGAACATATGAATCAAACTTGAGTTCCTGTATTTATTTGTTTGCAGGCAAAAAATATGATGGTCCCGAGGTAGATGTATGGAGTTTAGGGGTTATCTTATATACACTAGTCAGTGGGTCATTACCTTTTGATGGGCAAAATTTAAAGGTAAGTTCACAAGGATTTATTAAACACTGACTGGATTATACTACACCCAATACATCATAATTCTATAACCTTCTTGCTTAGTGCTCTGTATTTGTCAACAAGGACAGTTACTAGGGAAATGTGTTTATATATTGACATTTCATTGAAACAATATTTTGTGTTCAAGATTGTACTCACTTCATTTGTAACAAGAATTTACCAAGTACATAGAAACTGAGTAAGTTTATCAGTCACTTTTTTCCACGTAATTAATTTAGGCCTATTTTAAATAGTATACAATTGCACAAGGAAGTGAATACCAGTTCATGTTACAAATAGAGGAGAGAGAACCACACTATACTGTTGACATTGAGTCATATTAATAATACATTTTTTTATTGAACTTATTTTATTGTGAACTTGGTTTCCTGTGCAGTTTGAGGTCACAATTATTGATATAATATACTTGTTATAGTCATTTCTGGCTAGAATAAGGTCTGGTTTGTCATACACATGTAGGCTTGTATATATGATATTTCTGTCGATGACTTCATACTATAACATGTATTTGTCAGCATCAACTACAGAAACGTCATTTACAGAAATATTGTCACAATTCAAAATGGAAATGACTGATTGTAATATAGATATATTGTTTTGAGACATCTGGTATGGACAGCTGTTTTAAGCTGGTATAAAGATTTTTGACATTTAATATGGCTGAATATATTGCCAGAACTATCAGGCAAGGGTTAGTGGCTTGGTTGATATAGCAAACAACCTTTCTATACTCGGCCATATTACCTGTCTGAAAAAGACTTTATAATAAGTTTATTATAAGATTGCACATTTGCTTTCTTTGATAGGGGAAAAAAATATTCATAATGTGCATCAATATTGTATTTAAGTCATATAAATGTCAGAATGTCCAATGTAAATAAACATTACAAACATGCAGTATATGATTAAAGTTTATCAAAATGTTCATGTACATTATTTTATCGAGGTAAACACCTTCCATTAAACAGTATGTCAGACAAATACAGATTTCAGGGTCAGTTTATCACATACATGTTGCTTTTAACAATAAAATAGATGTTAAATGAATCATTAATTTTAATCTTATATGAAAAAGAAAATGAATTGAGTATTCAAAGATATGTTTGATGCTAAATTAGATTAATAATGTTTTAACTTTAATTATACCCCCGCACAACAAAGGTCACAGGGGCCTTGACTTCAAAAAGCTTGTCCGACCAATAACTTAAGATTCCTTGGACCCACAGTCTTCATATTTGGCATTGAGGTTAGTCATGATTAGTAGATGACCCCTATTGACTTTGAGGTCACCAGGTCAAAGGTCAAGGTCACAGGGGCCTTGACTTCAAAAAGCTTGTCCGACCAATAAACTTAAGATTCCTTTGACCCACAGTCTTCATATTTGGCATGGAAGCTAGTCATGATAAGTAGATGACCCCTATTGACTTTGAGGTCACCAGGTCAAAGGTCAAGGTCACAGGGGCCTTGACTTCAAAAAGCTTGTCCGCCCAATAACTTAAGATTCCTTTGACCCACAGTCTTCATATTTGGCATGGAGCTTAGTCATGATTAGTAGATAACCCCTATTGACTTTGAGGTCACCAGGTCAAAGGTCAAGGTCACAGGGGCCTTGACTTCAAAAAGCTTGTCCGCCCTATAACTTAAGATTCCTTTGACCCACAGTCTTCATATTTGGCATGGAGGTTAGTCATGATTAGTAGATGACCCCTATTGATTTTCAGGTCAAAGGTCAAGGTCACAGGGGCCTTGACTTCAAAAAGCTTGTCCACCCATTAACTTAAGATTCCTTTAACCCACAGTCTTCATATTTGGCATGGATGTTGATCATGACTATAAGGTGACCCCTATTGATTTTGAGGTCACTGGGTCAAAGGTCAAGGTCACAGGGACCTTGACAAAAAAAAGCTTTTCTTCTCAATTGCTAAAGAATGTCCTGTCCGCAATGTATTAATTTTGACATTTTCACATTTGAAGCATGTAGAATACATAACTTAGCAATGCACTGGCTTAGTAACCTCAGATTTGGCAGGGAGGTTGTCCTTGAGCTCTAAATGGCCACTGTTGATTCTGACAAAGTGGTATGCGGGGGTATTCACGCCATCATAGTGGCAGTTCTAGTTGATATTGAAGTACAGCAGTGTAAACACATTTCTACAATTGGCTTCAGTATGGTTTCCACAGGGCTTTTTTTTTGTATGCACAAGAACTATCTACTGGTCCAGAGTTTGATTTGTATAAAACATTGTATAACATTCTGATTTTGATGACTGTATATAAATATTCACCATGCTTAGACATGATTTCTAATGTTAATATATGTTTGTATGATACACTTAAAATTTAAAAAATTTCTGAATTTACAGTGGCACCAATGGATTCATTTATTTTTGTAAAAATAAATGAATGATAATGAAAAAGCTTCTTTACCTGCTAAAGAAGAAAGACTTGTGCATAAATTGAACCCTGATTCATTCTAGTTGATCTGAAATGCCATAAATTTTACTTTGTGACATATTGTTATTAAAAAAGTCACTATCATTACTATTCAATGATGTTGAAATTTTGTTTCAGGAATTGAGGGAAAGAGTATTACGGGGAAAATACAGAATACCTTTTTATATGTCAACAGACTGTGAAAATTTATTAAAAAGATTTTTAGTGTTAAATCCTACTAAACGAGCAAGTTTAGAGGTAAGTTTATATGTCTTTGATACATTTTATTCATAGAGAGAGGTCCATATAAAAGTGAAAATTTAATAATTGGTTCCTAACAAGCAATTAGATCATTCTTGTCTAAGAACCAACAAATTGTTAAAGAAGACAAAAGCATATTACTTTTTACAATTTGGTGAATTAATCCAAATTCAATTCTTCTGAATCCTACATGAAATTTATAATTATTTGAGTAGTTATAACTTCAACAAAATCATCTCTCATGAAGGTGTTTGGCCATAAATCCTCTTTCTGGAAGGTGTTATGTGATGTACACATGCATATTTTTCCTCTACCACTTGTACTGTACTGATTACATAAGCAAGTATGTAAACTAAAGACCTAGGGAAAAAAGCTCTGGTAAAACAATTAAGGAATAATCAATGAGCTGACATGCATCTAGCAGCTGTTCTAGTCTATGGATGATGTGTGATACACTTTCCACGCTTAATGACACATGAAATACGGCCATTACACCTGTTTTATACACATTCTTACGTCATTCAACTTCTATTTTTGTTTATCCCGTGAATAAATTTAGCTTATCAAAAATATAGATTTTTTACGCAATGGCACTTAATTGTTATATGAAGTTTCATATACAAACCAGGTTAAATGACACGCATGTGAATCATTAGGTTAGAATAATTTTAATCAGGATAGATGGTTCAATAAAGCAATATCAGCCGTAACAGTTTCATAACATGGGTTGTAGGCAGTGTAATTTTAACATCATTAATTTGTAACTTTATTGATAACGGCTGATAATGATTTTGACACTTGTTTAGATTACTGATAATGCAGATAGATTTCACGTCTCTCCCATTTAAACCACAAACATTGAAGCGGACATGTTTTTAATCATTGTCCAAATACAGACCCATTGAAAGACTGCACTTTTAGATAGGTGAAATGAAATTTTAAACTGGTAATTTTGATTATTATCTTCCTTTAATGATCTCTGGACTATTGTGCGCGCATTTTTACTTGACATAACAATGAATAAGCATCTGTATTTTGGAAAAAATAAATCAAAATTTCAAAATGTTTTTATTGATATGAAAGATATTATCAATGGAAGAAATATGTTGCAATTTGTATATCATGTTTTCTTTAAATTGCATGTTGTGAGAAATAACAATAGATCAATGATGTACACAAAACATGTACTAAAACTATCTCATTTGTAGGGCGGAGTTAAAATCCCTTTAATGTAAAAAATATTGATGTTGATACATATATAATTGTCAAGGACATGTGAACAACAAAACAAAAAAACAAAAACAAATATCCATTAATTTGATTTAAAAAAAGAAAAAGATACATTAGCATACATGCACACATGCACACATATGCACCAATAAATGTCCTTGTGTTAGTGAAATTAATGTATAAATTATGATAGATATAATGGATGTCAATGATCAGGTTAATTTCCTACTGATTGATTAAATGACTGATATACACTGTGTACATTAAAGATGTGTACAAAAACTTGAATCAACAAATAGCTAGCCTTCCGGCAAGAAATTGAGAAATGTATAACATATACATCAGTTTTCATTCATATGAAATGACACCTTGTTTTGACTACGATGGTCAATGTAGGACATTAAGTAACCCTAAAAGAATTATTTTTAAAATATCAAGAAATTTTGTCTGGTTTCTTAATGAATATTTTATCGAGCAACTGTATGATTTTGTTCATATGCATAATTTCTAGCCCTATAAGACAGTGATTCAATTTAAGCATTTTTGCATGTGTTGTGTCTGCTTGCCCATCATTTTATTGTCCAAAATACTCCTGGCTGATGATTTTGTTGAAGTTATCTTAGAATTGTGTACCTATTGTTAAATTTTTTAAACATAATTGAAAAGTATGCATTTGAAAAAAGTCTTAAATTTAATGGTTATAAAATTGTTTCTTATTGTAATATATTTGATGAAATCTTAGATCTAAACAGAGCTATATTTGTTTGATATACTTTATATTTAACATTTTGTTGTTGTTTCACTGCAATCTTTTTGCCTGCTTTGGAACTACCGGAGGAATATAAACAAGGCTAAAAATGAAACATTCCCCAATCCCTCTAGTACAAGAGTCACTTGTACCAAGCTCCTTCACGCTTATTCTTTCTTTGGACATTTTATAAATGTGTTGAACTGGACTATGGTGATGCATGAAGGAGAAAATTTTATTAATAATAAGACTCTTTTTAACATAAAACATGTGCTTTTTTAGCCTTGAAGAGCTTCAAAACAGATTTCTTTGATATTTTAATTGTATTGTGGTAGAAATATTAGAAATGTATTCCTTTTTTTTACTCCTTGAAATTTTGCCAGTGTGTCCATCATCAGACTTACTAAACTGTTTTTCACTACTGAGCTCTTAGAAAATTTCTGTGTAGGTTTATTCTGTCAACCTCTAACCTTGGGTGAGGTTTCAGGTCATATGTTTCAAGGTCACTGAGGCTAAAAATAGATTTTGCTACTTTTTCTTATGGTATAGTAATGTCAGTATCCAGCTGTGTGGAAGCATCAATATTTTTGTTTGCACAATGTAAAGCCCTTACAAAAAACAAAGTGTAACATATTTGCCCTGTTTATTAACCTATTACCTTTTGAATACCTTCTAAGTAACATATCTTATTATTAACTGCTGAATCACCAGTCATGGGATGGATTTCTTGGTAAAATAAATGTCTAAATTTATGTATCAATGAAAAATAGGATGAGTCATATATAATATGATTTAAAAATTAATGTGCTTTAACTGTTGCATATGAGACCGTTTGCTAGAAGAGCTTGGCATTATTGTTAAAATGGCCAGACCTTATTTGCATTGTTGACATATTTTCGGGTTTCAAAAGAGCAAATCCCAACTGCAACCAATATTTTTAAGTACATTTGTAACTCCTCCAATTATAGTTGCAATCAAACATATAATAAGGAAGCAATTATGTCAAAAGCTATGGGGTTGAGTTTAAACCATGGTTAAAATGGGTGAACAAAGTTTATTGAAACTCAAGTTCATATAGTTTATGATTTATTGTCAGTATTGGATTGAAATAATTTTATTTTATTTCATATGAACATTGTCTTATAAAAGGGATATATTTTAAAGATCATTTATTTACTAAAGTCACTAACATCACCCATTCTTTGATCAAGTTTCTATTCACTATTCCGTACATAATACTTGCCCTGTGTGAAATTTTAATCATTATGTGTTTTTGTGCCTCTATCTGCCTACAGCAAATAATGCGGGAGAAGTGGATTAATATAGGATTGGAGGAGGACGAACTCAAGCCATATGTAGAATGTTCTCAAGATGTCTTAGACCCTGTTCGCATAGGTAACTGAAAAAAAAAACACCCTGTAGTCCTCAGTGGCGCCGATCTAGCCCACCGGGTCATGCATGCTTGTATAGATGTAGTGAAAGGCAGTGCTTCGTTCATAAGACTAACATGTGAACGACACACTGCCTTGTTTCCTAGATTGATTTATTACATTGTAAAATGACAAAGAAAAATCAACATTCTGCCCAAACAAATTGAATTTGGTTGATCATTTGAATTCATATTTTATACAGATGTAAAATCCATATATTTGGTAAGATGAAAGCATAGTTTAGGAAATAAATTGGCATGCATGGCCTAAAAAGGCAGATCCCTTGTGTTGTCGTGCACTACATATGAGCCCTGCGCAGCTTAGATTCTTGCATCATGTTGATAGTAAAGATGTACAATCATTGTTACTGGCGTAAGTATGAAAAGAAACATAAGGGGGGGGGGGGGCTGCTTGTTACTGTCTTAAAATGAAATCCATACCATAGAAAGAATATACTCTGCATAAATACCAGAGAACAATGGTTGTACATCTTTATTAGTCTGCATGTATGTTTTACAGATATATGACATGATATTGCTGTTGGCAGAAGTCTTGCTACACAGTAAATATAGAAATTTTCCCATCTTAAAAAGGGAATATTTATTGTCGTTGTAAAAAAAAAGAAGATGAAATATACCTTTAAAGGAATTAGAAAATTTATTTAAGCTAGCATTTCTTTGGTTTTGGGCTCCAAAGAAAAGACTTCTCTTGCCTTGAAAGCAATATCAGGTTTAAAAAATGTTCTGTAAAGCATCAGCCATGCAGATGAAAAACTTCTGTGTACTATTATTTTTTCATGTGAACTTAAACTGATGTTCGTTTTTCATCAGACTATTATGAAGGATAGATGGATCAATATGGGCTTGGAGGAGAATGAATTAAAGCCGTACAAAGAGCCGCCCAAAGATATTTGCGATACGAAACGGATAGGTAAACACGAGCCATCTTTGGTTCACACCTTGACAATCATGCAGTGTATTTGTTCAACAGTTTTTTCTGTTGGTTTTTTTTTCCATCCAAAGAGATTTTTACTCATATTTTTGTAATGTATTTTTATACCATATTTGGTGTTTGTGGTTTTTTCCACCCTTTTTGTAACCTTGATTGATACATTAATAATGATCTGAGAATCTGCTCATTTTCTGTTGTTGTTATATATATATTATAAATACTGAGCTTTTCTCCAAGTTGTGGGATGTGTGCAAAAGTGGTGTAAATTGTTTACAGACAAGAATTAGATGCAGCAGTTTTGCAATTTCCCAATAGACTATTGAGATTATCATTAAGAAAAAATGATGCCAGATTCATTTAAGGTCGAAATTTTTTCCCCGAAAGTACATACAAAACAGCACCAAGTTTTATCATTTATAGTATTTGATTAGAGATTATTTATAAAATTTTAGCAGTATTTAACTACCTTTAGTTTAAGAGATTTTTATAAATAGAAAATTAATTGTTATTCAAGAAGAAAATTAAAAAATTCACATTCAATAGCATAAGAATTTGTGGAAACCTCTAAAAATATTAATAATTTTTATTTGGAATGTCTAGAAGCTATATTTAATGAGAGATTCTCAAAATTCCTGGCCTATTATTTCTTAATGATGGATGCTTCTGCTAAAAGCTAAGGCATGACAAATAACATGGACATATTTAATAGAAAATGTTTCTGTATGATTTTTGAAGGCAGACTATTAAAATTGCTTGCTTAAAGAACTGAATCTTATTACTTCCTGTAATTTTTATCTCAGCATGAAAACAAATTCTGGTATTTCCTCCCAAATATTATCGATTTTTTTTTAATTTTGTTATTTATATATCAATATATTTTGGTAAAAGTCAAAAATAATATCAGATGAATAAGAAATGTTGTGTAGTCATAGATTTATAAATAAATCTGAAGTAAACAAAATATTGGAAAATTTAAGTATTTTTATTTCTATAAATTCATGTTAAATTTATTTGACAAGATTTGTATTGGGAGTTTTTGTTTGTTTTGTTTTATATTTTGATGAACTAATAAGATGAGATACATAAATGTTTGTATACTTTACATTACATGTACATGTTGTTTGTCTTGCCTTAATACAAACTTTAATATTTAAAATATTAATACAAAGTATATACTTGTTGTATACAACAATAATTTGTACATAGCTTGACGCTGCAGTGCATAGCTTTATTCACAGATACCTGTTTAAAATACCAGAGCCTTGTTAATGCTGAATGACTAACAATATAACAAGGTTGTTCATGTTAACAATCTTATATCCAGGACTGAAATTATTATTTTTTTTTAAACTGACATTTTACTGCTAAAACATTATCACGAAATATTGTCATTTTCCTATCAAATCATTATCACCAAGTATAGTCATTCATATACTAAGGTATTATCACTAAATATTCTTTATTGCGCTGAAGCACTGCAGTGGTAGGATTTACTGGTAAACTTTCTGAGCATATTCCAGTATGTTAACATCACATGTATGTAATTATCTGAAAAATTTGGCGATGATAAGGACATGTCTTTGTAGCCAGTAAAGTCACCAAACTCCCCTGCTTGATAATAAAGTCACAAGTATTGTACACAAGTATTGGATTTATTTTCTTAGACCAGTTTCTTGAGGTTGAGATTTTGTTAGAAATATCCTATAAAAATTATTAAATAACATAGAAATATGCTCAGAAAGTATATTTAAGATTCCTTCAGTACCCTAGACTGGGGATATAGATAAGAATTGCACCAGGAATTAACCGAACAAAACCATTATCTTCACTAATTGGATGTTAGTTACTATACTTTCTGTACGATATCTCTACAAGGTCTAGGGATCATGTTACCTTAGGTAGAAATCTTGATTCATATAGATATACTATATACAGATAAATATACATGTATTATTGGTATGAAATTAGAGTCAGAAAAAAAAAAACATTAATCAATGATAATGGAGGCATTAAAAATGAGGCATGGATAGATAATACATAGAATGTTTTGGCGATTTCTGAAATGTTAAATCTTAAAATAGAATTGACTAAGAAAATGCTGTAAAACCACATGCCGCTTGACTTTGTTATATTAGTATTGCCACCATTATGCATGCATGTATTGTAAGTAAAATTGTGCCTAGTAGAGGACCTCATGCTTATCAGATATTCTGATAAAATTTCAGTAAAATATTTTACTAAATAAATTTGCTTTATTTTGGTTAAAAAAAAAATGTGTGTTATGTTGAAATTCCAAGTTTATTTCAGATTGCTAGACTAGTTTGAACAACTTATCTATTGATCGTTAATAATTTTACTTTCTGCAAACTAGTTAACAACTTACTTTCTGTGCAGATTTTGAGAATCTAGATGTACTTCATTAAATCTGTATATAAAACCTATTGTCAATTTTGCTAGTTTTGTCTTGTGAACAGAAAAAGTGTGTTAAAACTAGTCAGTTTTAACATTTATCTTCTGAATAGTTTTACTGTTTTCTCTTGTAGGTGATTCCTTTCTTGTAATGTTGGTTATAAAATAATGACTTTTAAATACATAATAAACTGAAGTTAATTCAAAATAGTTATTGAAAACCCCTTTACTGGCTTTATGTAAATTTTAAGGTAACTTAGATAATAATTGTTTTTAGGCTTTGCATATAGAAAATCTGGAAAAACATTTATTGAATTAAAGAAATTTTATGTCAGACATGCCTTAAAAACCTTATGTCAGTATATTTTATCAGAAGCTTAGCTTTATAATTCCTGGAACTCTTTGACATAGAAATGTGGAAATAAAGAAGTTTTACATGCTGGCAAGGAATAGTTGCAGAAATTGGAATGAATTGAAATATTTTGAGATGATACTATAGAGAGCAATCAAGGAGACACCTCAATTGGTTTACAGTATCTTACATGAGTGTTTATACTCTATTGGGAGTCATTCTGCTAAATTGGATACAAATTGTCTATGTGTACATTATTTCTGTAAAATACAAAATATATATTTCTTAGATATTCATATGATATGAAGGCTATGTATGTAATATGCTTGTGAAACCATGTACAAATTGTTGTTTCAGAAATTATGGTGAACATGGGCTACAGTCGGGCCAGTATTGAAGAATCAGTAGTACAACAAAAGTTTGATGATGTACAAGCTACATACCTTTTGCTGGGCAGAAGGACAACAGACGTAAGACCTGATTTATACCAATATGGAATACTGTAACTTTAATACTAGACTGGTGTTTTTACTTGTATACAATATTATGATAAAATATGATTATGTGATAATTGTATCTGACAAATAGTGTAGGCTTTTTAGCAAAATATTTATTGTGTCAAGCAATTTTGATCTTTGTGGTCAAAATTACCATTGTTATGGATTCTGCAGAATTGTTTTGTTCAGTACTTCAAATTGTAATAAAAGTTCTAGCATAATATTAATTGTCTAGACACAGTATGTTATGAAAGCCCCTATTTGATATTTCAACAGGTAGAATATAATATGAAAACATTTCACTGACATAACTTATACTTTGTCTGATTTTTGTTTAATTTTTGGGGATTTGATGGTTAAAATGAAAAAATGAGCATCTGTGAGTCAGGTCATACTAAACACACTTGCAAGGCTACACACTGTTACAGGTATATAGCAGGTAGTTTAAACAAGTTTAGAAGAATATTTGTGAAAGACTAAAGAACAAGTTTTCTGTGTTTCTTATAATAAGACTAAGTTGATCAATATCACTGTCTTAAGCTATATGGAAATGTTTTCCAGACAGGCAACATATAAAAAAATACTTTGGTTAGCATTTTATGGATGTGAAGCAAGATGAAAAAGAATGTAATGGTCTATATGTAGTCATAGAGCAAGATGCAGTGACTTGATAGGTGGAATAAATCCAGATTTCACTTCTGTCTAGAATCAGGAGTAAAATCCTGTATTACAACATATTTGCATTTTTAAGAAGACACTTGAACATGCTAGTAAAGTTCAAAGTAGACAAGTATTCATAAAATTGCCTGGTGGTCTAATTACAGAAAGGGAGAACAGAAACTATTGAAGGCTGAGAAATCTTACTGTTTGATATAAATATAATGTGAATAAGAGATATATAATTCTCATTTTTTGAGACCGCTAAAGTGCAAAGTGCTAGTGTTTCATTTATAATGACTGAAACAATGTACTTAAATGTGTTTATGATATGAAAGTCACCGCAGTTTAAAATATTTTTGTTACACATTATTGTTTACAGTTAGAAGGTAGTGATAGATCAGGTAGCAGTCAGTCATTGCGTCATCTCCAATCATCAACGACATCCAATCGACCTCAAAGTGAGAACCAGGCCAACAACCAGTCTCCAAACAAAGTGACGAGGAGCCAGTCGGCGACAAGTAGTGGAACACGAGGTCAGAGACGCCACAGTCATGGTGGAGATAATAATGCGCATGGTAGTATGAAACGTAAGCCTCACTCACATGCTTCCAAACACATCAAGCCCTTTCAATTACCACCTATTTTTATATACATGTACATTATATGACCGTTGAGATATTAAATAATGTTGTTTGACTTTAATCCAGTGTTAGAAAGAAAAAGAAGGAACTTCAGGTGAAAAGAGGCCTATGTGTCTTATCCTTAGTGAATGTAGTTTATGTAAATTGTTGTTGTTTTGTAGATGTAAATAAGTAGTAGACAAGATAAAGTAAAGTGATGAGGAAATTATTTCACTTGAGAGCTTCATTTGTTTAGAATGATTTCATTTTATATCTGTTCTGTCATTTGTCGACATTAAGAAGTTACATCCTCTGCATTCTTTAAAGGGACTCCTCTGAGATTTTCTTGTCATTTGATGTAGGTCTAAACCAAAAACTTGTGCGCAAAATCTCAGATTTGCTCACTCTGTTTTTCTGAAATAATCTTATATTTTTTAAAATGACCTAAAAATGAAGTTTCTAAATGCTTTTAACTTAAACGAAGCTAAATATGGCCTGTCCTTGTAGAGTTCATTATTAAATTTTTCATTTGTTTCTGTTTTAAGTGCCCCATTTGATCTGTGTAAGAGTTTCAAATTTTATGTTATAAGGCTTTTAGACCTCTGTGGAGTTCTGATAAGTAGGAAACTTCCTTGTATTATTTGTTTTTATATATAAGAAAGTGCACAATGATTTATCTTTCTCAAATTTGGAACAAAAATAATTGTACTTTAATGTAGTTTAACAATACATCTTGTTTCTCATCTTCAGCAACTTGTTTCACATTCAGTTGTAATACTTTTAGGGGAAAACAACCTATCATGATAGTGCAATGATGTCATGGACTGATAGTAGTAAACTTGTGTGCTAAGAGCTGGGTCACCAAATCAGTAATTCATATCACAGTAGATAAATGTAATGACTTTATCATGTCTTGCAAGCCTGTTCAATTAAATTAGTACTATGTCTTGCGATTACTGGTTCATGCATCCATAGCTTTTTGTCATTGAACCTCTAATGGAAGCCTATAAATTTAACCATACACTTCTTTTACAAAACTGTTTTTATAAAATCATCAAAAACAGTTAAACAGCTCAGTCTTCATTATTAAGGCATTGTACATGTAACTTAAATTAACCCAAGTCTAAGTAGATTTGATTTGCATTTATATACTAAGTGTGGAAATAATTATTTCAATAATTGTTGAACTAATTTATTCCTTGCTTGAAAAGGGAAGTAAATGTATTGAATTCGGACTAAAAATAGAACAGATTGGCCTTTTTTCACCTGGTTTTAATTTTTTGTTGTTGAAAAAAAAAGTGAAGTAAATAAAGCTCTCAATTCATTTCACCATTAGATAGAAAAAAAAATCACATCTAAATTTTTTCTAACAAGTTAAAAGAATTGATAGCTCAAGCTAAAAAAGAAGCCATGGTAAATTATATAACTGATTGTATTGTTCAGATAGTTTTGTTAATCCATTGTTACATTTATGATATGAACACTTTTCTATGCCATTGTTTTCTCGGATCAGCAAATGGTAATGAATTTGTATTGAAAGGGCTTATGATCACAAAGCTTTGCTTCTTATAATAGTTTTATCTGACCAAAACAATGTTCACTGGGAGCTCTTACTGTCTTAATTGTTAAAACAGGCATTTTATATATAAATCATGTTCATTTATTAAATTATATTGCTAGAAAGAAGATGTTTAGTTATTGAAATGCCTGCTTTAATATTTCTAAACAAACCCCCCATCTTCAGCCACAAGAACTTTTTTCTGTCCGGTTTTGGATCATGTCTGGATTTGAAGTGACCAACTTTCATTATAAATTTTGTAACAGTGTTTGCATGCGATACCTTTTACATACTATAGTAGAATGAATACCTTCGACACTAAATCATTAATTTTATCCCTGCAGTTATTTATATATATTAAAAATATGTGAACATCAACCACTGATATTTGTTGGCAACCGGCACTGTAAACAAATTGTTTGAAATTCATGTCACAAAATTTTTCATGACTGTAGACCGATCTGCATCAAATATGGAAACATCAGTCATTAATACAGTTGACATTGTATTAAGAGACCACTCAAGGGACTGCCAAAAAATGGTCTCTTTATAAAATGTACAGATTGAAGACTTAAATACTTAAAATGAACAGTGAACTGTATAGTGTTCTTTTATTGACTTCATAAAGTTGAACCCCTCGCTTGGCTGGTTTTTGATAGCATAATCTTGCTGTCATCACAGCCGGTGCACAGAGGGTTAGTGCAAGTCCCTGATACTCCAAGTGTTCATGTTAGGTTTTGCAGTGCTTTGTTGTTTAACTGATAGATGTGTGCCAACTTTTGTAAATTTGTTTGAACTTGTGACAGGAAAGCTAGTTATTTACATATATTTTTTCTTACAAATCTATAGAATATTAATCCAGATAATTGATTAATATAACAGTGTAACATGTAAATGTTACGTTTTTATATGTGTCATGGTAAAATAATGCACATACATAAAAAACTTTCATTGGTCTTCTTGCATAAAAAAGTTAATCTTTTTAAAATTAAAATGAAGAAAAAAACAACAACATTATCTATAAAAAGAACCATGTGCATTGTATTTTGGGTTATAATTTTTGATGATAAAATAACAATTTGTTGAAATCTCCCTAAGTCTCTTTAAAATGATATTAAAGTAATAATAATAAAGTAAGAAATACCTAGTTTTCAAGAGAATACTCTGGTTCAATGATCGGGAAAAAAATGAAACATTTTGAAAATCAAAGAATTTATTTACACTTAAAGTAACCTTAAATTAGTGTTGTAAATAATGGTTATTTAAACTTATCTGCTTAGAATAATCCATATACTAAATTGAAAAACAATGATAAGAAGCATGTATAGTTATAGGCATGCAAATATTAGTTTACCCTCCTAGTGTAGTAAAATACATTCAAATGAATAGAACAAACTTGAATATACCAATGCACAGTCTGTGAATTGTACTATATGTTTTTATGTTGGGCCTATTTTTTATGCATTTAGTGAAACCTTGCATGTGTTTTATATATCTACACATATGTGTATGTACTTTGGTGTGTACATTAATTATAAACAGAAAAGTTGCTCGTTAGTTGAAATTATTAAAGTTTGCATATTTTAATCCCTTGCTTGATTGGTTAAAAGTGACATTTTGTTTAAATGGATATATTGTTTGAGGCTAATTTTGTTGCTAAATTTTAAATGCTTGGATTTTTCATCATAATATTCTTGCTCGCTTTGTTTTCTTCTGTGGATCTAGGATTTTAAACTTATACTAATGGTTCATACATTATAACATATTTACATAGTCATTGTAATTTAATACTGGACATAAAGTTTATATTTTAGGAACCTGTTAGTAAAACAAAACAAAAATAATGTATAAAAATAGCTATTAATCTGTAACTGTTAAAATATAATATTAATACAGAAATATGATACTAATGCAGTCTGTATGAACCATGGTGATTTGAGTATCTTGGCAAAAATTTTAAAAAAACCTAGCTTTTTTCAACAAACTAACAAATTTTCATCCCATTTTGTATAGTTACTGCCTTGTTAGACAGCTTTTGAACCCAGCTTTCTTAACTTGTATAAATATAGAAATAATAAAAGAAAAATAACAAACTAATTTTTAAAAACAAAAAAACAAAATCACAAAAATAGTATTTCAAGAAAAGAGAAAAATAAGGAATTGTGGCTTGAAGATTGAAATTGATTAAAATATGTCTCGACTTTGTCTTTACATGTCTTCATGTGTAAATCATGGAGAAATCTTAAAAGTATCTTCCTAAAAAGTTTTTATAGACCAAAAAAAAAAAAAGCTGACCTGTTTTGCACAATTCATTTTCGCGGGAATCCTTAATAAAGAATTAATATCCTGTAGCATGTGTAAACAGTTGTCAAGATATGGCTCATGCTATGTCATATTATGACACCTATATGTTTTATGACACTAGGAGGTCCAGGAAGTGCTTCACAATCCAGTTCCCATGCGCCACGTCGACAAAATACTATAGACACAACTAGTTCAACTAAGGAGAACGTTATCTCAGGAAGGAAAACTCCGTCAGGAAGCACGATGGAGTCGCCAAAGGTTTGTGTGCATAATTAAAGATATATGAGCCGCGCCATGACAAAACCAACATAATGGGTTTGCGACCAGCATGGATCCAGACCAGCCTGCGCATCAGTGCAGTCTGATCAGGATCCATGCTGTTCGCTTACCAACTCTATTACAAGTAGAGAAACTGATAGCCCTGATCAGACTGCGCGGATGCGCAGACTGGTCTGGATCCATGCTGGTCCCAAACACATTGTTGTTAGCTCACCTGTCACAAAGTGACAGGGTGAACTTTTGTGATCGCTTTTCGTCCGGCGTCCGTCCGTCCGTTGTCCGTCCGTCCGTCCGTAAACTTTTGCTTTAAATGACATCTCCTCATAAACCACTGAGCCAATTTCATCCAAACTTCACAGGAATGTTCCTTTGGTGGTCACCTTTAAAAATTGTTCAAAGAATTTAATTCCATGCATAACTCTGGTTGCCATGGCAACCAAAAGAAAAAACTTTAAATATCTTCTTTTAAAAAACCATAAGAGCTAGAGCTTAGATATTTGGCATGAAACATCTTCTAGTGAGTGTCTACCAAGTTTGTTCAAATAAAAGCCCTGGGGTCAAAATTGGCCCCGCCACTGGGGGTCATTGATTTTCCCTATATGCATATAGTAAAAACTTAAAAAATCTTCTTTTAAAGAACCCAAAGAGCTAGAGCTAAGATATTAAGCATGAAACATCTTCTAGTGAGTGTCTACCAAGTTTGTTCAAATTAAAGCCCTGGGGTCAAAATTGGCCCCACCCCGGGGGTCATTGATTTTCCCTATATGCATATAGTAAAAACTTAAAAAATCTTCTTTTAAAGAACCATAAGAGCTAGAGCTTAGATATTTGGCATGAAAAACCTTCTAGTGAATGTCTACCAAGTTTGTTCAAATAAAAGCCCTGGGGTCAAAATTGACACCGCCCCAGGGGGTCATAGATTTTCCCTATATGCATATAGTAAAAACTTTAAAAAAATTCTTTTAAAGAACCCAAAGAGCTAGAGCTAAGATATTAAGCATGAAACATCTTCTAGTGAGTGTCTACCAAGTTTGTTCAAATTAAAGCCCTGGGGTCAAAATTGGCCCCGCCCCGGGGGTCATTGATTTTCCCTATATGCATATGGTAAAAACTAAAAAATCTTCTTTTAAAGAACCATAAGAGCTAGAGCTTAGATATTTAGCATGAAACATCTTCTAGTGAATGTCTACCAAGTTTGTTCAAATAAAAGCCCTGGGGTCAAAATTGAGCCTGCCCCAGGGGGTCATAGATTTTCCCTATATGCATATAGTAAAAACTTAAATAATCTTCTTTTAAAGAACCCAAAGAGCTAGAGCTAAGATATTTAGCATGAAACATCTTCTAATGAGTGTCTACCAAGTTTGTTCAAATAAAAGCTCTGGGGTCAAAATTGGCCCCGCCCCAGGGGGTCATTGATTTTCCCTATATGCATATAGTAAAAACTTAAAAAATCTTCTTTTAAAGAACTCAAAGAGCTAGAGCTAAGATATTTAGCATGAAACATGTTCTAATGGGTGTCTACCAAGTATGTTCAAATAAAAGCCCTGGGGTCAAAACTGGCCCCGCCCGTGGGGGGGGGTCATTGATTTTCCTTATATGTGTATAGCAAAAACTTAAAAATCTTCTTTGGAAAAACCCAAATAGCTAGAGTTTAGATATTAAGCATGAAACATCTTTAAGTAAATATCTACAAAGTTTGTTAAAATAAACGCCCGGGGGTCAAAACTGGCCCTGACCCCAGGGGTGACATTGTTTTTAACTATATGTGTATAGTAAAAACTTTAAAAATCTTCTTTAAAAATGCAAATGAGCTAGAACTTAGATGTTTAGCATGAAACATCTTCTTATGGGTGTCTACCAAGTCTGTTCAAATAAACAAATAAAAGCCCTTGGGTAAAAATTGGCGGGGGGGTGGGGGGCCTATATACAGGTGAGCGACCTCAGGGCCATCATGGCCCTCTTGTTTTTGTAATGACACGGCTCATGTATATGAGGTCCTCCATAATGAAAATTGTTAATCTTAATTCATGCGTCACTTAAGAATTGTTCGGAATGGTTAGTTCTTTCTTTTTGAATTGTTGTTCTACAACAAATGCCTTCTTATCATGGAGGGCATTTATGTCTTCCTCCACCATTAAAATTAGAAAAAAGGCAGTAAATATGTATTGTTTGTTCGGATTTGTTTATGTTTGGATTTGTTTATGTTTAGCATTGTTACTTCGAGTTTTATTTTAGTTGCAGTCAGAATTTCAATCAAATACCAAGTTCTCAGAGTTTGCCTTCTTTTTCTATCATTTCATTGGCTTCGGTTAGTTCATGAGTTAATTTTATACATTTATAACCAGATCAATTCAGCGAGTCCAGCTCGGGCAACGATCCCGAAGAAACCTGGCACATCTTCTACAGGGAAAAACAGTGTGATTCATACAAGTATTCCACGACGGAGTGGAACTTTCAGCCCTGGTGATACACGTGTTCAAACCCCAAGTGAGAAACCACCGTCAAGAGCAACAAATGGTCAAGATATACGACAGTAAGTAAACATATAAAACATATATAAACTGTTTTCTTGTATGATTCCAGTATTTCCTGTATCTTGTATTTATCTCATTCATGATTATAGTGGAAAGTTGTTTTAAACATACTATGTATAGAAATTTGATTAAATGTATAGGTCTAGAATGGGACGTTTTTTTACAAATGTAAAATGTTTCAGTTTTTAAAGATGAATGTACATGTCATAATTTCTTTTTGCAATATTTGTACATAACTTATATATATCTTGATTTGACAGTCTAAGGGAAATCGTTAATATTTTCTACTATTATTTTACTAATACTCTAAGGAACATGAATGATTTTTTGGCTGTTCTGTTAGCCTCCCAGCCTCCCTTGTGAATAATGTTCTTTATGTGCATAATTCCTTTTCTTATCTTATTAAGTATTTGGGAGACAGAGTTATGTAACTAGACTAGAGAACATTTCCTGGTTAATACAAAAAAACAAAAAACATGACTCACTATATAGATATCAATATTCATAAAGTTATAACTTGCACTTTTTGCTGTAGAGCAGTATGCTTGTTGAATTGTAGCGTGGGAAATTAAGTTTTTCCCCAAATGTACAACATAGCATTTCTGTTTATAGAGTCATTATAATACAGTGAACATAAAGAACCACTTAGCCAGTATGTTGCGGACAATTTGCTTTTAGAACTGTATATTGTTAACTAAGGGGATTTAAATATCATAGTCAATAAATTGATTAGTCAACAACATAGAGCCTTGCTCAGCTGTACAGATGTGCAGCTTGGCATGGCTTTATTCTGGTGATATAGGCAAAAAGAATACAGAATGTGAAGATAATGTTTCATTGAACCCTGGTTATTATGTTATAAGAATGCATTCTCATCTGTGTATATTCTGAACTGTTCTTGCCAGCTAATACATTTCTTACTGTATATTGTAATGTCTTCTGTATTGCATCTTGACATTTAACATTTGTACTATATGTATTCAATCCATATATAATCTTTTACCATTTGTACTATATGTATTCAATCCATATATAATCTATGTGTTAATCTTCTGTGAGTTTATTCTACCGATAGAGCATGTTAACTATCAATTCACTGATTTACGTAGATATTTTTATGCAATTGGGGCATTTAGGATTCTTTATATCATATTGTATCTGTATATCAAATTACTTCCTTCGAGAAGCTGCTGGCAAAAATTAGAAATCTAAGCCGGCTAGCTGTTGACATGCTTAAAAGACTATTTTACCTGAGGTATTGTCAGTTTTTCATGTGTTGTTCATCTACCAACCCTGTTTCAAGTTGAGAAACTGATAGTGAACAGCATGGATCCTGATCAGACTGCGCGGATGCGCATGCTGGTCTGGATCCATGCTGGTCGCAAACGCACTATGTTGTTTTTGTCATGGCACGGCTCAAATCATCATATGCTGAATAAACAACACATTATTGAAAGATGTGGGCTGATTGTGAAATGTCAAATGATTATCATTTTATAGACTTTACACTTGTTTTTTTGTCGAGTAATTCTTAACTTATTGATTAGAGAGATTGTCTTGACAGAGCTTTACAAATACAAATTAGAAAAAAACTATACAATTACACTTTATTGAATATGAGTGACTGTTTATAGAAAGGAAATACAGAGAGAATAAGGTTTCTTCAAATTCTGCATAAAATATTTGATATTTAACCCTGAAAATCTATTGTTAGTGTTAATGATTTCTGTATCAAAATTTTTAAATTATCAGCCGACAGTATAAAATCAGGTCAGGCTGTTAGGATATGCTTTGCAGACCTTAGTCTTTAGTGATGACATAGGACTGTCATTATTTAAAAAATTATATAGAATAACAGTCTCCTGAAAGCACCATCATAGCACAACCTATCATATGTTAGTTTTTCCTGTAGTGTCCTCAATATATGTAAAATGTAAGCATTGCACTAACTTATCAATAACATAGGATTGTAAGGGAAATACTCACAGAAGATAGTTAACACTTTATTGCTACTGTCCAACACCCATAAAAGATCTTTTATTATGGGAAAACATTAAAGAAATGTTCTCCAGAAGTAGTTCTTACACGACTTACAGTTTTCTTAGGGAATTGGTGATGGGAGGGGGGGGGGTGAATGCTATTTTCTGAAGAAGAATGTCGAAAGCTTACAAAGCATTTGTTTTCTTTGACTAGAAAGTTGTGATGGGGAAAAAATAATTTTTGAGGGTTATATGAAGCTCTTGTAGTGTGTTGGACAGTAGTTTTTCTCTCACTTGTATATTTATGCTTGTTTCCTATGGTACTCTGAATTAACTTTTGCTTGTTATAGAATGACAAACTCCACCAATGCATCAGATATAACGCCTGTAAACAGGGATGCTACACGGCCTAAAGGTCATGTCAAATCTGCAAGCACTTCCCATCCCAGAAACATGGAGTTACCCCCTCTTGACAGTGATTTTAGACCCACGTAAGTCTAGTCTAGATTAGATGTAAAATTATCTAGGGAGGAAAGTAAAAATGGTCTTGTTGTTAACCACTGGTATGACATTTAGACCATTATCTTCATTCCTAAAAGTTGAGTTTAGCAAGTATAAAAGTATTATGTCCTGAATTTGATGACTTACTGATGGTGATCGGGTTTCTTAACAAATAAATGCATGATATGGATTACATTATCTATTTTTGTCTGTAACTGTATAGGTGATCGAAAGAAAGCTATTTTCAGGCTCCTAGAAAGATAGTGGTTCTACCCAGTATCTGTTGAGGAAGTAGAGCTCTGGCAACTCTTTCCGTTCTTCTGCAGTTGTTTCTATTGTCTGTTAAACGAAATGCCATATGAACCTTAATGTTTGCAATGTGATAAGAACTAATGAATCTATGAGGTTTCATCAGTCCTTATAGTCCTAATGTTTATTGATATATGTTATAATGATACACTTTATATAGCAATGGTAATGATGATATGCTACCTGTGAATGATTGCTTGATATAATTCTTAACTTTGTTATATATATATATCAATGTGAACTAATGAAATCTAAAGCTAGTATTGTTTTGTCCCTTCTCCATGAATATATTTGGTGAATTTTAAAGCTGTTTAGAAATATGTGGGAGGAATTATTTTCTGGCTTCATGTTTACTGAGTTATGTAGAAAGTAAAATTGATCTTTCCCTATTTAGTGTGAAATCCTGTTTTGTAGGACTATAAATAATATTTTTATTACCATTTATAAAGCTTGAACATAGCAAATCAGCCTTAATGATGGGGTTTGCGTGGTGAATCTATATAATTAAGTGCTAATACACTATATTCAGAAGAGAAGGGGGAAAAAAACAATGCAAATAATACAGTGAAACCTTAGATAAAGACTGTATACACTATTAAGAAGTGGATTTTAAACTTTACGATAAGCAGTCTTTGGTCAGTGTTAACATTTGCTAGTCAGATTAATTGTTAATAATTGTCTTTCGACTCAAAATTTGGAACAAAATTTTGTCATAAAGGAATTTGTCATGCATTTGTGTAGCACTGATGTCACATTATGTAAGCCTATTAAATGTATGTTTAGCAAGTCACCAAAGTATTATATGTATTCAGTAGCATTACTAATTTCTGTTTATGCTTTCTCTTACCATGTAGCACTGCCCCAGAAAGAAAACCCATTGTGCCTATATCACCCGCTACTCCCAAGCAAAACACGTCGATACTGTACCGCGGTACTGCCAGCCGTAGCACATTCCACGGAGGTCCGATCCGAGACCGACGACAGACCAACAACTACGGCCCTGGAGGCGTTCCAATGCACTCACAAGACACGTCGGCCATGGGCACTACTGGACGCTTCTCTATATTCAACAAACTCACATCAAAGTTTAGTCGCAGGTATGCACATTATTGTGCGCCCAAACTTGTTTGTTGTATATCTTTGTAGCTAATGCTTAGCTTTCTCAGATAATAATGTGCTTCATCTTCTTAGTTTTAAACCTTTCGCTCTAAGTTTACTGTTAACATTTTACGAGAAATAAAATAAAAAAATAGAATTTTCAAATGAAGCACAGATGTTGCTACTTCTTTAAGTACCTTTTACTGGGAAGCTTCAGTTGAATTAATATATTTCATATTTTCTCTGGGCAGAATTTATTGATATATTTGCATTGGCATATGCTGGTCCATGATTTGTTAGTTTAAAATAAAATCCGATTCTTACATTCCCAGTGATGGTCAATGGTTCTACCTTAGTGCCTTGAATGATGAACAAGAATTTTGTAAAGCCATCATATGCAGTCAAATTTGAATTAATGTAATAAATTGTAAAATAAATCAACTTTTATAAATGCTACTTGTATTGAACGAATGTCATGAAAAATACCACTTGTAAGTGTGGATATTTGTGAAAAAGAAATTTAAAAAAAAATGAAAGGTTTGGTAAGTAGCAGTAGTATGTATTATAAAGTTGAACTAATCTAGTGTATAGAAATAGGGCAACAACAAAACAAAAATGTTATATAATAGACTGAAGCACAATGTTTCTGAATAGGTCGTAACATTTGGTGTTTGGTATAGTATGTCTTTAACATCGGGTAACAGGAGCTATTAATTTTGCTTACAATAACTGCTGGTGTTGGGCTTGCATGGACATCACTTTTTCTTGTCTTATCTAACTTTATAATGAGGGAATTGGGAGATTTGCTCTTAGTCTTTAGTTATTTAGTAAGAGATCAACAATTTTATAGGCTCACCTATTTAGTGCGAGAATTTGCTCCAGCACTTTAGCTAGCTTACATCTCTACAAGGTTTGTTAACAGATAGGATCATCTAAATAATGGTAGAAATTGACAGATTATTTTCTCTTTATGAGCTAGGCTGTTGTATATAAACATAAAAGGAGGGAATGTTATGCTTGTAATTGGCATAATGAATCATACATGTTGGTCATCTTTTCATTCAGGATTTAACAGTTTTGTTGAATGTGGATTATTTCTTATAGCTTGCTTCTTTGTTTGTTTTTATTTCTATCTTTATTTCTGTATGTGTACATGTTATAATTTTGTTGGGAGGTTCTTACTTTATGTTGTGTGCAGATTATCACAAAAAATAGAAAGGTTTTAACAGATCGGAAAATAGCAAAGCTTTTTGCCATGGTGACTGGTTTCTTAGAAAGTTTTAGGGAAAATCTATTTATAGGTTTTAGAGAGTATTAATGGAAAATTTCATTCAGACTTTCTTTGTAGACCATCAAACTGTAGATATATTGATTTTGATTACATCTTAGCAAGTAACAAACTTTTAATGGAGTAAGCAAACCATGATGGTTTTATTTTTCGCCCCCTATGAAGTGAACTATGATTAACATTAAATGCATTTTAGTGAGAGATAATTCTTTCTTTAGTGTTTGTTTGGTATCTGCTTTGCTTTGAATAACAGGTTTTGGTAAAATAGATTTTATATGGGTTTATTATTTCATTTTATAATTTATGCTAAATGAATTCTATTTTGATAAAAGAATCAGTATTTTTATCTATCACTGACATTTATTTAAAATGATTTGTTTATTTTTTGGTGTTAACTAATAATTACTTTTGTACTGTTCTGTAAATTCTGTAGAACCTTAAAAAATCATTTACTGCTAAATCATCAACTTCTTAATATTGATATCTTTTATATGGAAAAATTGTGAATGAATACATTTTATCACATAAATCAAGGCGCAGGAGTGTAATAAAGCCATTTAATGAAAACGATATTACACTAGTGTAATAACACTTAGACGAGCGTCATTTACGTTACACAAAACATAGCGTTAAAAGCGCATAAATGTTAGCTTTATAAGTACACCAATGAAAAATTACTCTTTGTAACTGTAAACTGTTCTTATTTTGAATATGTGATAAATAGAATATTATATTTGTGTAGATTAAATACTTAATTTGTTGAGCATGTTGAATAAAACAATATTATGCTCGCCAGAGGCTCGAACAATATGATTTTATTTAACATGTTCAATAAATTTAGTATTAAATCTACACTGATTCAGTATCCTGTATGTATTAAATGAGAGATAGAGGATGATTATTTAAAGGTTATATAACTAATGATAAACTATATTTGCTCTCAGAGATGGTGGTCAGGAGGTATTGACAAGAAGGTTAGTGTCACATTACCCCCTCCTCCAATTATCCCCTTCGCTACACCATCACTCTTCATCTTTCACAGTCTTTTTTGTCATTTTTTTATTTCACACTTCGCATAGTCTCAGATTGGGGTGTAGATATTTGTTGGTCTTCATAGAGTTAAATTCATTTGCAGTTATTTTAATAAAAACATTTGTATATACTTTTTGATTTGCTGCAAGTTGTTAAACGAGGAACCCTTTATTACCAGTTATATATTCATGTTTGAATAAAATAAGTGTCCCTCAAATTTTTGTATTGTCAGAATTAACATCACATTAGGTAAGAGTTAACTTTTACCTACCTGACTTTGTGTAAAGAATTTAGCCTGTTTTTACTTTGGAATTGTCTCTTGCGTACTTCTAGGATTTCAGTATCAAAATAATAAATAATTTGGTAATTAACAGACTGGAGTCCAGTTTACCTAACTCACTATATAGTTGGCATAACCATATTACTATGAATTTCAAAAGGTCCATTCATATTGTAGAAATAAGATCTTTGTCACATTTTAATTTGACTTTGCAACAAGAAATTTCCAAGGACCAAAGCTAAATAAAGGAATACTCTTCTGAAAACGAGAGGGCTGCTAATGGATTATGGAAATATTAAAATTTAAAAATGTATTTGTTATTCTGTACCTTAAATAAGACAGTTCACAATTTGATCCCATCATAAGAGAACTTGCATTTAATTTAAATGCAGGGAAAATATTTCATTGATACAAAATACATTATTGGAATCCAAAGCTATATTTTATAGAATCATACTTTCAAGATAATTATTTTCCTACATTTTGTTACATTCCCTTAGCTAATTTATTTCCTCGACTTGCAGAAAAGTATATACAAAATCTTGTTTTTAATTAAAGGATTTTTTACGATCCAATGATTAATTTTGCACCATGAGAACTATTTTGGAAATCTATTTTCATTCCCAGATAAATTCTGGTTATTCAAAATTGTGATAAATGAATCTTAAATTTCATTTTGACATACTATGAAATTAGAACTGCCAAAATCAATATGATTTTTTTTTCTCTCCATTCTAATATATACATGGTGTGGTAGCTTTTTTTGGAATATTTTTCCATGTTTTTAGTTCATGTGGAAGTTTATATGTGTAACAAGGTAGTTGTAGATTTGGTGCTGCATTTCTAATAATAGCAACTTGTATTGACCTTGATCTTGTCTTGGTTTATCTGGTTGGAGCTTGCTTTAGTTTTTGTTAAGGTAGCAGGTTTAGATTATTCGGTAACGGTGAAACCTCTATGTAAGTTTTCATTACTTTAAGGTGATTATGTCAAATTTTGTCCAATTATATACGATTTTTTTATTTTCTTTGAAATCTTATAAAATTTGATATTGTTTTTTCTTTATGACACACTCATGAAACCCTCCAACACCCCAGGTCTACTTACCATGTGTCACTGATCAATAAAAAAAATATAATTCACACTTTATTTACAGGAAATTCACCGAAAATTAAGTACCTGATTTTTTTTGTGCACCGTTTTTTTTTGTACAGAATTTGGATGTTTTTTATGCCAGAATATTATGCTTGTGAGATAAAGATGTCACTGTTTTACCCACAGTATTGAACTTATTGAGCCTCCCGGCAAATTGTTTTTAACTGAGTGTGCGTGTGTTTATGTGTGATAACTCTTACTAATGTGTGTTTCTATGCCCTCAGAGTTGTCTAAGTTTCTAACGCAATCCAGAATTAATAAATGGCGTGCCTTAATCTGTTAAAGAAATGATCAGCCATGCAATTTACAACTTAAGTTAATTTGCAAATTCATTGCTTTGATTTATTTGTTTTGAGTTTAAATTAAACACAGATTCTTTAGTCACCTTCATTTGTGAGTTGTGTAAAAAAAAGCAGAAGAAAATAACATAATATTACAGAAATTTCATATATTACGGAAATATATGAACAAAAAAATTTCATCCTTAAATGTTTGTTGAAATAAATTACAATTTTTTTATTTGCATTAGTGTTGCTAAGCAACCCCTGCATGATAATGCAACTTTGCACTGTCTTCTACTCTACTGAATAGCACTGCATGGAACTTTTATTTTTGTTTCAGTGTTTAGTGCTAGCTTTAACCATGCACATTTAGTGAGCAGTTTAAAAACAGAAGAAATATGTTGCAAATAAATCTTAAAGAAAACAATCGAAGCACTTCACCATTTATTTTTTTTTAGCAAAAATACGAAGATATGTTTAGGTGCCATATAGGGTTTTTTTTTATTCAGTATACAATTATGGGGGATACTTAATTATTTATTATTACACTAAACACTTCTTGTGAATTTTTTGTAGGTTTCTTTCTATAAAATTATTGATTATTATAAAATTCATGTTGATTGATTTCTGATATATTTATGCAATCATATTTCAGTTGTGGCATATTAGTGCTTTGCTGATAAAGAAAAGAATGTCAGGCTTATAAAATAAATGGTCTAAAATTATTTCAGTTAACATAAATAGACATTATCCTTTACTTTGGATATATGGATTTGTATTGATTAAAATCAAGATTGATATGCCTCGCAGCCGTGTTTAGGCCTGAATATTCTTATAAAAGCTTTGTGTAGAAAGTTTGCTTACATGGTTTTAAGTAACATAAAAGAATAAGATTTTAGACAAAGTTATTTTTCATAGATTGCATGAATATAGTAGTGTTAAAGTCTGTGGTGAAGTGTCGTCTTATTGGCTAGTTTGCTGAGACTGTGAAGGGTTCGTACAACATGGTCATACAGTAACTTATTCTTTAAGAAAACCTTAGTTACGACAAAGAATTTTTATCGGCTAGACCAGTGATAGCAATTTTGTCGGAACCTATTCTTTAAATTAAATGAGTTACGATATGATTTTGACAAGACCATGTTATGTACAGTTGTTGTGACCGTGTAGAGGGTTATGTACAGTGAGGTCGTAACTTATTCTTGAAGTTCACTAAGTTACGGCATTCTTATGTTGAACCCTGTTTGTATACCTCTGTTCCATTTTGTATAGTTTTAAACATGTATTAAAGATTATGATTTTGATTATTTCTCTTCACATGTGATCAATGTAATTCTTTTCATTTTTCTGCATCTTGAGGGATAACTTAATTTAGAAATTTTATAAGGTATGGAACTAGAGTAAATATGAGCATTTCTGTGTATTTTTCTGACCCTTTTAATACAGGCGATTGAATATTGTAAATACAATTTCCGAATATTGTACATTTATCAAACTAAATGTAGACTCAAGATCAAAACATTTTAATAAAATCTTGAATTAAAAGTGGTCAGAAAATACATTGATTCTATCAGCTTAAATACAAATTAATATTTGTTTGTTATTCTTTTTTTTTTTAAAATAACACATTTTATATTCTTGGCTGAGATGTTTAGACACATTTTGATATGATATATTGCTTATATTCCAGTACTAACACATATTTATGGTCCAGTTATCCCCCCTTTTTTTGGTTGGCTCTCTGTTCTGTAGATTGGTGGTTCCCAGTTTTTAGAGTAGAATTTATATCACTAGTATTATAACATATATCAAGAAAAAGAAGGCATCAAAATAGTAGTGCCATATTTTGGCAAACAAAATATACTGTGATTTACAACCTTAAAAATGCATCAGTATTAACTTTAGGCGTTGAGAGGGAAAAAATGTCTGGTCACATCAGATTCCAGGCATTTTGTGAATGTTTGCAGGGAAATTAATTAGTTAATGTTCAAGAAAGGAGAAAATAGACAATTTTCTCAAAAACTTCTAATTGGTTTAGGAATTAGGTATATTGCTTTTTCCTTGATTGAATGAAAGGATAAAATTTCTTGAAGCCCTTTTAATGTCAGGGATAATGGCTTGCTTTTGCCACCAGTATAGAGCCATACTGACTATAAACCAACATCTTAACTGTTGGTTACTATAGTTACCAATTTTGATCCTGACATGTCTAAAGCTACTACACAATGTATTACTATTTCACCTTCAAATCAGAAAAAAAGTCCATAATGGTTAAGCCTTACCCTGCAGGGACTGAAAGGGATTGACCCTGGCCGCTAATATAGAGCCAGGCCAGCCTGCATATCAGTGCAGTTTGACCAGGTTTTATACTGTTGGCCGACTTGGTTCAAATTTTTATTGTGATATCCCCAAAAAACTGATAATGGACAGTTCCAAAAATGGAAGCTGGACAAGTCCATTCAAGAAATTTAGCATTTATAAAGGTCAAAAACATGTCATCAGATATTGAGAAGTTATTGCAGCCATCTTTGTGATTATATAGAATTCAAATCCTATTTAAGATAGGAATACCTCTTCAATTAACCATCATATTATAGACACATTGGTTTGTTACTCTTACTGACAACATATTATGCATATATGAGCCGCGTGACAAAATCAACATAGTGGGTTTCCGACCAGCATGGATCCAGACCAGCCTGGGCATCCGCGCAGTCTGATCAGGATCCATGCTGTTCGCTTACCAACTCTATTACAAGTGGAGAAACTGACAGCAAACAGCATGGATCCTGATCAGACTGTGCGGAAGCGCAGGCTGGTCTGGATCCATGCTGGTTGCAAACACACTATGTTGGTTTCGTCGTGACACGGCTCATATATGTGTGTTTCATGAATATATGTAATATGTATACACATGTGTCACATTTTATAAGTGTGCCACAGAAAATATGTATTATATGTACATGTTACATAAATATATGCAGTGTATTAACACAAGTGTCACATATTCGTATACAATATATGTGTCACATTAAAAATAATATATGTGTGAAGTTACATATATATGTGTATATAATATATATAAAGCTAGTAATCTCCCCTTTAAAGAAGCTAGTATTTCCACAGACTTCTATTGTACCTTATGTAGTCACAAGATCAGAAGAATACTGGTTTAGCATTTGAATTTATTGCTTAGAAACATTCCACTTGGCAGTAACACCTAAAATAAATTACAGTGCACTGTATTCTAAAGCAATCACCAATATATCTTAATGAAAAAAATAAATAAATAAAAGTTATACTTGCATGTATTTATAATGACAACGTTTTACATAACATCATGCATGCACAATTATTGCAGTTATTTATATGTACTGTTATTACTAAACATAAAGTTCAGAAGTAGAGAGTAGTAAAGGGGGACATTTCAGGGAACTGAGTTGAATTATTCATGACATAGAACGTAAAAACGGAGTAACTTTGTCTTTTCCGCTCATTTTAGAAATAAAAAAACAACAACGATACAGTTAAGTTATTGAACATCTATTTATTTCGGCAATGTTACAGGAATGTTTGCTTGCATTCACAAACAGATATAGGTTGCTTTGGAGATATTGACTGATAATCATTGAATTTTAAATGATTGACCTTTGTATTCATTGCACTACCATTTTGGTTGAGTAGGACTTTGATACCTTAAATACTGATTGTCCTTAAGAAAATATTTTACAATGAAATATTATTAGATGATATTGGGTAAAATAAGGATAAGGGGATTCTGTCAGCTTCTTGATAAATGAAAAATGACTCCTAGTTACATTGGCTGTTCAGTTCAAGATCAGTGTCCTTTAAAGAATTTAAAGTAATAGGTCGTTTTGATTGTGGTCATTAAACCAAAAAATAGATGACCAATTAGTGCAGGTTAAATCATTCCTGATTATTAGACATGTAATGGTCTTAGTACATGATTTGATTGATAACAGTTTAACTTTTTAACAGCACAAGACAGTTTACATAGGTTACTTAAGGTTATTGCTTTAAAATTGAATTTTTTTCATTCCGTAGCTACAAAATTATGTCTTCCATAGCAAGATCCATGACTGATGTATGACAGTGTTTAAATTATAGTGGTTTGAAAAATATTTAGGGTAGAATCATATTCTTGAATTCCTTTCTTGACCTGGGAATGTGAACAACTTAATGATGTAGATCTGTTATCAAGTTCTCTTTAAAAGACTTAATATTTCACTTGTGAATGGATTGACATTATTGGGAAGGGGATATCTGACAAAAAAAGAATAATTGGAAGGTATATTCTGTTACCTAGTTTAAAAACTTAAATTTCGGCTAAAACAAATCATGTCTAAGAAATTTTACTCTTTTCTTGATGCATTTTAGAGGAAACTGTGGTCACAAAGCATGTCGCTTAGATTATGCACATTATTTAGGCAAGAAAGATGTTGAAAATGAAAATCTGGAGACATTTTATCTTCAGTTTCAGGAACCACCATTCAGGTTGATTTTGAGAGCTGGCCAATACTAATTATGTCCCATTAATTCTAATTTTCAGCAAATTGTTCCGCAGGTCTATCAATGAAGGGCAACGGGACAGTGGGGGCGTGGGAAGTCACAGTATCAGCACAGGCGGGACTCCTTCAAGTGGCATAGGTGAGGCCGTGAAGCCTAGGTCGCTACGATTTACCTGGAGCATGAAAACAACAAGCTCAATGGATCCTAACGATATGATGAAGGAGATACGCAAAGTTTTGGATGCAAATAACTGTGATTATGAACAGAGAGAAAAATTCCTCTTACTCTGTGTACATGGGGACCCTAATACTGACAGTCTAGTGCAATGGGAGATGGAAGTTTGTAAATTACCAAGACTTTCTCTCAATGGTGTGCGCTTCAAACGCATATCAGGCACATCTATAGGCTTTAAGAACATTGCTTCAAAAATTGCCAATGAGTTGAAACTTTGATAAAAGGACACAGTTCATATTAATATTATTTTTCTGTTAATGGTATTTCATCATGAGATTTAATTTGAACATGGGCAATTGTGGTATTAGGAATGGTACTGGTAATTTTCATTATGGGAATTATCTTATGACTAGTACCGGGTATAAGACGTGAGTGTCTTGCGGTGTCATTGTTTCATAAAAAAAGATGTGCATGCCATATGTAGGTCTATGAAAGTAGACCTCGTGGTTATGTGCTTGTGTTCGACATTGCCTCTGTTTCATAACTGGAGACAGGCATGTTTCTTTCGTGCGTGTGTAGATAAAAACACCATTTGTGACATTGTGTCCAACTCCACTGCAACTCTCAGATGTGTCCAGTGACTCTGTTTTTGTGTACTTACTGATTTTTCTTTTGTTAAATATGGCTCGCACTGTGGAGGTTACTGCACTAGGATTTTGTAATTTTACGATGTTCTAGAACTGCTACGAATATTTGTGCTATGATATATAAGGTGGTGTCTGAAAGTACCTTGTTATACATAAATATGTGCCAATTTATTATAACTACATATATTTCTTCAACATTTTGTGATAATAAGAATATTGACATGGCAACAGTTATTACGGAGATTGGCGCTTGCGGTCACGTCGGCGGCGAGACGTATGTCAAACTCCTGACAGGGTACTTACATTAAGAGAAAAAAAGGCTTGAAGATCTTGTCATAAGGAAGGGTCGGCAAGCCATGTGATCTGCCTCAGTTGACCTTACACCATATGTGATCCTATATATCGAGCCCTCTACCATTATATATATATATGTATATCATTCATTAGGAATTTTAATTATTTTGTACAAAGTGTAAATACGGTGTAAAATAATATAATATACTTAGTATAAGTACTATTTGTAACAAGTAAACTGTGAAAAGTTAAAAAGTATACTAAAAATCATGTACAGAGATTAACTTAATTGTAAATTTTAGCTACTCTTCTGTTGTTATTTTAATTCTAATGAAATAGATTGATTAGCATGCATGATTTGCATGTTAATAAGCAGTAACTATTTTTATCAGAATAGCAGTGAGTGGGTGCTCAACTTACAGAAATTACTGTTCTTTCTATGCAGACAAAATGGTAAGCTTTTACTGATAAGCTGGGGATTGATAATGCTGAAAAATGCTCTGTTGTCATGGCAACATAAGACTCCAGTTACTACAGTTATTGTGTTTTCTTTTAACATTCCAAATGAAGTTTTAAGTTATCCATGAATTTTACCAAATTTCAGTTGGCATGTTAATTAAATATCATAACCATGGTAACTGGAGTTGTTATGATAAAAATGCTGCTGTAAATGTGAAGATTGTCAATACTTCACTGTTTTTATCAGTGTGACAATTTCCATGGCTTTAACAAATACAATTGTTGTCATGATATGATATTTAACTATGGTTGCCTGGTTGCCATGGGGACTGAAGTATCGTGCTAGCCATCTAGTATGGTAATGAAAGCGAAACATATATATTTGAAGTAATTTTATCACATGTCCAGTAAAGTATTTTAAAAATTGTCATGTTTATGCTGTAAAAAAAGCATCTTAGTTGAAGGATAGTGAATTTTGCATAGCATGATTTATTTGGGGACTGGAGTGGGGATATCATATATTGTACTTTTATTTTGGCCTTGTGCTTTTTGATGATAATGAAAAAGCTGCATGATGCTACAAATGTCTGTAACTGATTCTATCACCAGCTGCTTACATCAAGAGTAAATGTCTTACCTATTTTAGCTATCTAATTGACAAGTAAATTTCTGTACATGAAAATATACCCATTGTTATTTAATTATTTTTAGTATGTTAACCTTTAGTTACAGGGGAGTACTTAATTTATTGAACTGTTTTAAATTGTTTGCTTTGTGTATGATAACATAAAAAGAGCTTGGAAGAAATGTGACCTAGAAATGTCACAGTATCTATACAGTTAAATGGAAGTCTTTTTTAATCAGTTTTAATAGTAATTAATTTCGCATATTGTACCTTTAAATGTTAACTATTTATTCTTTCAACTGTTTTCTTGTCTACTTATATAATATCATTGAAAACATTCTTCTGTTCATTTATGATCATATTAAAGTAGACAGTCAAATTCAAATCATATGTTGCTTGTTGGATGGGAAAACACAAACTTTAACATGGCTTCTTACATAATTAATTTTAGGTTTTAGATCTGACATTTAGTGACATCATTTCATTGAAAGATAATCATTCTAAGATAAACATTTGGGTGTTTGGTTAAATATATTGTCATTCAGGATTTTCTAGAGAAATGGCATTTTTGTCAACATCATTGTATTGTCAGAGATACGTTATCTGATCTCAGTATACTGTATTAAATGAGTAGCCGTAAAGATTATGTTGTTTTAATAATTGTATGAAAAATGTTACATAAAAAAAAAGTCAGTTCAGATGTTAAGTTTCTCACCCCACCCACTTGTGTCCTGTACTTTTCCCCGTTATTTTTTGTGTGTGCTATATATACATTGTGATATCCTCATGTGAAAGGTCAGTTTTAGCGAATGATGAATTTGTTGTATGTGAGGACAACCTTACCAAAATTGTTGGATTGTTGTTACGTAAAACATTGTTATCAATAAGTATGTAAGCATTCTATTGAACGGAAAAAAGAATGTTAATATTCCTTGGAATATTGTCAAGTTTTAAGTTACTTTATATAGTGATTTGACGTGATTGCAAACCAAACAATTTTGTAAGGCTGGTCTGAACAGGTTACTTCGCCTTGTGTTATTTCTGACAGAAGCATTTTGAACAAATTATAAATTATTCTCAGCCTTCAAAATATGACATAAAATAAGGGCATGTGAAATAGTTCTTTTGAACAAGTTGATAGCTGACTTGATTTTGTATATGTCTTGTGAAAAAGTGAAATTGTTAAAACATGAATTGATTTTTTGTTAATTATAGATAAAAGGAAAATAGTAAATTTTTATTTATGCTTATTTGGAAGTTATCTCTCCATTTTGAGGCAGATGGGGAAAAAGATTTATTTTTAATTTTAAGTTTAACTTTTTTGAGAGATGCTCTGTATTTTTATTTTTGGTTAAACAAGAATTATGAAAGAACTTCATCCAGATTATACTTCAGTTAAACACGAAAGGGATGTTTAATTATAGCTGCTAGAAAATTAAGTGAGTATTCTCCATGAAGTTCAAGGGTGTAGAACAAACAAATACATACCTAACATCAGGATTTATTGTTAGAAATCTATTTCATATTTGGTTTGCTAAGGTTTCCTTCAATAATTTAGATGATAAGTGATTAAAATTTAAACGTAATTTAAAATTTTCAACCATGGAGTAACACTTTAATTTCTGAATGGAGAGGTGAAAGTACTGTTTAGTACTGAAACACATACTGTAAGTGAATTGCTTTCAGAAATGTGATTGAAACAATTACAAATTGGTGCTTGTCCTAATTAAATGTTTAAATGACAAGTTTTATTCATTGACAGATCTATTCAAACACAGTCACATCAAAGTTATGTTTTAAATATTCACATATACCAGCAATTATGTGTTTTTGTCCCCTGTAACTTTACACTTACCTATCAGCATTGAAGGAGTTATTATTGGATTAAATCCTGGTCTAGATAGATAAACTAATTCATAAACACAGTCTAAAATTTTGAGATATATATATAGCTGAAAAATAGTTACTGTCAAAGATTTGACTAAGTAATTAACTGACAGTCTAAGATTTGACCAAGTAATTAACTAATAATCAGTTAATCATTACAAAAGCATGGTTAAATATTTAACCAGGTTTTCCGAAGGAAAAAACTGGTTATTAGATTGAGGTATGTCGGCGGGCGGGCGGGCGGGTGGACGGGCGGGCGTAAACAATTTCTTCTGTGCGCAACTCCTCCTACATTTCTCAACGGATTTTGACCAAACTTTCACAGAAGCTTTGTCATCAAGTGCCCTGGCGCATATTGTCGAGGTTTTGCGATTAGATAATATTTGACCTAATTATGGCCCTTTGTTTTTTTTCCTTATAAAGAATATATAGTGAACAATTTCTTCTGTGCAAAACTCCTCCTACATTTCTCAACGGATTTTGACCAAACTTTCACAGAAGCTTTGTTATCAAGTGCCCTGGCACATATTGTCGGTGTTTTGTGATTGGATAATATTTTATCTAATTATGGCCCTTTGTTTTTTTTCCTTATATAGAATATATAGTGAACAATTTCTTCTGTGCGCAACTCCTCCTACATTTCTCAACGGATTTTGACCAAACTTTCTCAGAAGCTTTGTCATCAAGTGCCCTGACACATATTGTCAGGGTTTTGCAATTGGTATATATTGGACCTAATTATGGCCCTTTGTTTTTTTTCATTATAGAGAATATATAGTGAACAATTTCTTCTGTGCGCAACTCCTCCTACATTTCTCAACGGATTTTGACCAAACTTTCTTAGAAGCTTTGTTATCAAGTGCCTGGCACATATTGTCGGGGTTTTGTGATTGGATAATATTTTACCGAATTATGGCCCTTTGTGTATTTTTTCCTTATACAGAATATAATAGTGAACAATTTCTACAGTGCGCAACTTCTCCTACATTTCTCAACGGATTTTGACCAAACTTTCACAGAAGCTTTGTCATCAAGTGCCCTGACACATATTGTCGGGGTTTTGTGATTAGATAATTTTTTACCTAATTATGGCCCTTTGTTTTTTTTCCTTATACAGAATATATATAGTGAACACTTCTTCTCTGCGCAATTCTGTGCGCAACTCCTACAATTCTCTAGGGATTTTGACAAAACTCTCGCAGAAGCTTTGTCATCAACTCTTGCTGCATGTTGTCAGGGTTATGAGATTTGATAATGTTTGACCTAATTATTGCCATTTATTTTTTTCCCTTATATAGAAATATATTGTTTTTGTTCCATATATAGAATATAAAGTGAACAAATTCTTATTTGCACACCTCTTCCTACAAACTATTTTGACAAACTTTCACAGAAGCTTTCTCATCAAGAGTCCTTGTGCATATCATCGGGGTTTTGTGATTTTTGGTGGGCGGGCGGGTGTTCACTTTAAAACAAATGCCCCTGCATGACGAAGCTTCTGTGAAATATTTTGCTGAAAACCTGGTTGCATCGCATTGCGATGTTCCTTGTTAATTCTTAGATTTATATAACATCATATTTCTTTTTTTTTGTCACACACTATAGTATAGTACTATATATTAAGGAAACTTTGCATAATATTCACACACAAGTATGTTTTAAACAAGACTGGCTTTTTTATTTCAACACTTTTCAAAATAGATTTTGTATGCTACTTTTTTAGAGAGGACTTACATTGAAAATGCTAGTTTTTGAGTATAGTTTTCATTTTTCTTCTTCTTGCCATTAGAATTGTACACAGCATCTTAATCTAACTATGCACTGTGTGTATATAGAATTACCTGACAATAAATCAAAAATTTGTAGAGGATATTCTTTCTTCCAAAACGTTTTCTTCACACTTACTTTAGACATAAACTTATAGCCGTACAAAAGCTGCTTTACAGATTTTTGTCCTCTTTTTAAATACAGAATGTTGCCAAGATTATTTTAAAAGGTACATGCTTTGCTTATTGTTGATAAAAGAGTCCTAAAAGACGTGTATTTTACAGAGTTTGAGTGTATATCTTTTTATTTTTTCTGTTGCTTCTAAGAAACATATGTCTCGTCCATCCCAAGCTCTACTTGTTGTCACAGAACATTTTTACATGCAATAACTCGTATTCCTGATCTAAGTATCACTTTGATGATGCAATGAAATAAATATGTGAAAATCTTAATATGACAGTATTTGTTATTTATTCAACCTCTTAAAGCAGTAGACCTTCAAGAGTAATGCTGTTTTTAGCTCACCTGTCACAAAGTGACAGGGTGAGCTTTTGTGATCGCTTTTCGTCCGGCGTCCGTCCGTCCGTCCGTAAACTTTTACTTTAAATGACATCTCCTCATAAACCACTAAGCCAATTTCATCCAAACTTCACAGGAATGTTCCTTTGGTGGTCACCTTTAAAAATTGTTCAAAGAATTTAATTCCATGCAAAACTCTGGTTGCCATGGCAACCGAAAGAAAAAACTTTAAATATCTTCTTTTAAAAAACCATAAGAGCTAGAGCTTAGATATTTGGCATGAAACATCTTCTAATGGGTGTCTACCAAGTTTGTTCAAATAAAAGCCCTGGGGTCAAAATTGGCCCCGCCCCCGGGGGGTCATTGATTTTCCCTATATGCATATAGTA